ATCGCGATTCCCGGTGGCGCAGCTAACCTGATCTTGCCGTCGTCGAGCATAGTTACCGGTATCTGAGACCTGTATCTGAGTATTCTTCCCACCCACACACACACACAGACACACGCACACACACTCCCCATCAGCCCATCCGCCCATCCGCCCATCCGCCCAGCTATTACCAGATCGCGGTAAACACATTTTCTCAACGGGAAGCAGACCCGGCCGGAACAAACGAGACACCCACCACCAGGACCACCACCAGCAGCACCCTCGGAAACGAAACTGTCACTGCCGTGGGTAGATCGGGGTGGCGCGCCGATTGATAGCACCGCCCATCCTGCAGAACGATAGATGAAAATTTTAGATGACGAAACATCCCCCTCATCGCAATTCGCGCCGCCGCCGGAATGGCGTTCGGCATCCCTGAAGCGGATGAGAGCCGGACTCCGGAGAGGGTAGCCGAGCGAGAGAATTTGTCGTGCAACTTCCCATTCCGGGCGGGAGAGAGTGAGAGAGAGAGCGTTCTGGATTTTCAATTCACGAGCGTTCCGTCAGTCCGTCCGTCTCTCTGTCGCGTGGTGATCGAGTGATTACGCGAGTTCTGGTAAGGCTGCTGGGCTGGGACTGCGATTCGCGAGAACTCGTAGGCGAGGTAGCTACCTAGCTATCCAGCCTTCCTGGTATTCACACGAGCAACGGCGACGATCAGTGAACTTTCCAACGAGGCGGTGAGAACGGAGAATGGGAATAGTAGCCAGGAGCGGAATACCACATGCGCTGATGCTCTGAAAATATTTGCCCCGCTCGCCCCGCGGAAGCTGGACTCGCGGCAGGCAAGCTGTGTTCTCTGTCCGTCCGTGGCCGTCGCTACCTACTCTACTCTAGCTATGCACGCGTGCGGGGTAGTTAACTAGCCCATGGAGGTGTACTGATGTAGGCTCGCTCTCTCGATCGATCGGAGCCGGCGACGAGAAGGAAGCAGCCGAAGGGCGGGGGGCGACGAGGGGGATGACGCGGGGAGACGGCGACGGTCTGCGGCGGGGGGCGTGGGGTTGAAGAGTCGGTGAAGATCCTTCACGAACGCTCGGGATCGGGATCGTGACGATGGTTCGCAAAAGCGGTCTGGTTACAAAGTCGAGTTGTGATGTGCGTTTGGTTTGGTTTCGCTGGTTGCAAACTAGATAGAGCAGCTAGAGGAGATAGAGTACGATACCTACTCTAGCTGTTCCTGGTCCGTACAGGGTTCGTCAGCCACAGAGTACTCTAGACAGACAAAGTACTTCTTACTTCTCATGGACCGGTCTTCGACGTCCGGCCACGGCTGTTTCGACCGTCGATAGCAGGCAGCCCTCACCCGTGGACGTCCCTATGCACTCAGCACGATGATGGTGATGAATCATGGGAATGCAGAAAGGCCTCGCGACGTTTAGAGTGGGTGGGCACGTAGGTGACGATGGGGCGGTACAAGATGAAGATGAAGTTCGATAGAGTACCTAGAGTGCATTGGGATGACAGAGTTGCGTCCAGAGAGGATGGGCACGCAGTGCAGAGACAGACAGAACGCACTCTATGCGCACTCTATGTACGGTAAATACTTGACGTACTTCGAGAGCAAGCAGCCTCTCTGCGCAGCAGCTTCGGCTTCGCAAAACCGTTAAACGAGCTGTACAGTGGATGTACACACTCTACCGACATCACTGCCCAGGCGAAAAGTCAATCAGAGCCAGTCCAATGACATCAGCATACCCGCGGGCGACAGACGACCCCACCATGCTTTCGCTTTGCTTTTCGTCGGAGCCCCACTTTTTTGATTGGGAGGATGATTGATTGATTGATCTGAGCATCCTGATTCCTCCTCCTCCTGTTCCTCCTCCTGTTCCTCCTCCATCATCCGTGCGCTCTCTCTCGCAGTCAGCCAGCTTACTACCCCGCTCGCCGCCGCAGCCCATCGAGGATTCGATCTATCTATTCGATTCGAATTGAAACGCATATATTGACTTTCCGCTTGCTTGCCTGCTTTCTTTATCGCACCACCACCACCACCATCACCGCCAAACGACCCAACTCCATCGCAAAATTGCCCGATCCCGCCGTTTCTCGCGATCGAGATGGATGGCTGGATGGGGGGGGTTTCTTTTTTTTCTTGTCTTTTCTTTTCTTATTGCGCTGACCAGTGACCACGCAACACACCCCACGCCGCACGGCGCACGGCGGAATTCCTACTCCCAGCGAATGCCCGTCGTCGAAGGCCCGACACAGCGCGAAGGTGGGTATATGTACCAGTGCACTTTCGGCCGGCAGCTGCGGGCGACGGCGACGAACTTCGCGGTGGAGAAGAAAAGGAAAAAAAATATGGCCGCATGTTAACTAAGCTGAGCGAGGGGATGGGGGGATGTGAGATGGGGGATAGGGGGAGGAGAGGTGAGGGCGGGGCATGGCGGAAATGTCTGCAGTTGCTCGCCGTCTAGTTCACATGTAGAGCGACGAGACGCGGGCCATCGATCTGGATAATTTTCCTCACAACTGTGTCGAGTGTGTAAATATGGGGCCGAAGTGAGGGGAGAGTCGAGCAAAAGGAACGACACTGGATACTGGACTCTGGAGTCTGAACACGGGGTACCGTACCGTAGTTAGCTGCGTCCGTCGAGCAGAGCCAGTCCCGTCCCTAGTCCCCAGAGCTTGCGAACCTACGGTATGTACGGCACCGTATGTAGAGTCTCAACTTCGACATCGACATCGGCATCCCGCGAGCGCGCGCGTGCCCTTCCCCCTCTTGCCCCCCTCCCCTCAAACCGTGGGTGCATGGTGGCTTGCAGCAAGCACTCAACAACCAAGAGTGAGGTGTGGCTGAATTCTGAAAGGCGGCTCAGGAACATTACCGCCCGGTCGCCGCCTGCATTAATCGACACCACCACCACCACCACCACCACCACCACCACCACCACCACCACCACCACCACCACCACCACCACCACTGGCACCACCACCAGCAGCAGCACCACCTCCACCAGAACCACCGATCGCACCGATCGGTTTTTTTTTCTCGCTGGCATGGGAGACAGGCATGGGCGACCGACCGGGAAGTGTGAGAGGTGTGCTATGATTAGTCCCGCAGGTAAGGCTGCATGCACGATTGGGCAGATCTTCGTTCTTCGTCTTCTCGCCAACAGGGAGGGATCACCACCACCACCACCACCACCACGCCTTTGGGTTTCAGGCCGACGGAGCGGTTTCAAATGCCGCAGCGAGTGAAGAGGGAAAAAAAATCAGGAAACGAACGACGTTGTAAGGCAGGCAGCCACCCAGGGGAGCGAGACAGTAAACGAAAATCAGACGGATGCCTGGCTGGCTGCACCGCTGCACCGCTGGAGATTGAACGTCGTATGTACGGTATTGTATCGTATCGAGCCGTTGCCGTTGCCGTTGCCGTTGGGCATGTAGGTAGGATATGTAACGTGGAAACATGGAAACATGGCAGTCTGGGAGTGTCCGGTTCCGACTTGGCCTACATATGGTCCCACTTGTCGTGTCAAGGGTCAAACGGACGGAGAGCCCGATCGTCTGCGGTACTTAGGATCCGGTGCGGAAAAACAAAGGGTGCGGGCGCGGGGCGGCGGCGGGCTTCTTGGTGGGCACTTTGCGCTCATTGGGTCGTGTCCCGAGTTTGCAGCTCGGCGGCATCGTTATTGCACGAGAGCTGAAATCTCTATCGCTCGGTCGCCGCAGGAAAGAAGTCACGATGGAAGGTTGCAGCACTGTACCTACTGCTGCTACTAGTCGTATGTACCTCTAGCTCGCTGTGAGACCGCTCAGCGCTACGGCACAGGTACCCCGGACTGGCGGAGTGAGCAGTGAGCACGAGTGAGGCCGCATGAAAGCACTCAGACTCCCTCCGTGCCCGGTTCCACCCTCCCCTCCACTACCTACTGGATACCTACCACGCCTGAGATGGAGCTTTACGGAATGTCGTGCCTGTACAGCACCATCCATCATCATCGGGTACCTTTCCCTTGGGCTCGACGGTGCCAAACAGGAACCTTATTCTTCCGGATGGCCACGGCCAGCAGCTATGAGGTAAATGGGGGGAAGGGGCTACTGCCAGCTCGCCCCAGTGCCGACGTCGATTATCGAATGGCAAAGTGCCTCTACGTATAGCACCCGGCAAGGCATTGATTAAGGCGGTCCCACAGCGGCCGAGTCGATTGGCCGGCGGTGTCCCGGACGCGCTGAGCACACTCACAACCCATCAAAATAGAGTGGCCCGCATAAGTGCCCGAACAGAAGGGCAACGTCAGAAAATCCCGATGGGCCTACAACCCAGTGAGCCGCAGGCTTTAGTTAGAGTGGTTCGCTATTCCTGTGCAGGAACTCTCTCTATTCGACGAACCCGGTCGGAGTGTGTGTGGCGCCGAGGGGGGCTGCGTGAGGTGCCAGCGCATGCATTCGGGAGCCTCCGACATGTCTACCTAACACATGCGTTGGATCTTTTTACGACACCGACGACGACGACACCAGGAGATGTCACCACGTCTTTCGATGGTGAGGGTTGGGAGCGAAAAATAATCGTGCATCTCCAATAGCAAGGCAGGAAAAATCTATGGAGTGGAGAAACCCGCAAGCATCACTGGACCGACGCTGCGACGGAGCCTTCTTCCTGCTGTTCAACCTGACTCGTAGCTGGGAGGCCGTGGAATTCGGATATAACTGCCCGCATTCTTCGTCTTCCTCCTCTGTTTATTTCGATACTCTCTTCCCTCATCCACCCAGTCATCGGCACAAGCAGGCCTGACATCTATCCATCCATCCAGCCAGCGGTTGTTGATTTCTCCAGCTCTCAATCGTCTTCTACACACTCGAAGTCGATCTTCTCCTTCCCAGCAAACAGCACCGACCAAACGTCCCATCTGTTTATATACCGCCTCACCTCCCCGCCTCCAGCATCCATCCATCCATCCATCCCGCACCCATCCATCCATCCCGCACCCATCCATCCAACCATAACAGAAAAGATGTCCGACTCACGCAGAGGTCCGACTCCCCCCTCCACGAGCAACACACATTTCCACGTCGTACTGGCTGCGCTGTGCCATGTCTGGGATGTTGCGCTCAAGCCCGTTCCGAAGTTGACGTCGGTGGACGATGTAGATGGCACCTTCTTCTTCGCGCCGCTCGCCTATCTCGCCGCCACCCTGGTCACCGCCCTGTACTTCAGCCAGGTCTGGCTGTTCACCCTGTCCGCTTTCGGCGTAGTCTGGCTCGACTCCCAGATGGCTTGGAGGGCCCAGAAGGTAGGAGGATATCTATTCCCTCGTGTGTGACGGTGATTGGGATAGTTGGGACTGACGTGTGGCGGCGAATAGATCGGAATGGAAATCATGCAGAGACACATCGCGGAACAGGCTGAGGCTGCTCGTACTACTGCAAGCCGTCAGAGACTCCCTGTCATCGATGAGGAACCCCGCACAGCCACCGAGACGCCCGTCGAGGCTGAACAGGTAATTGCGAGAACAAATGAATCCACTCAAAAATATATAGAAATACTAACGATATCACCAGGTCACTGTCGCACCCGTTGTGATCGCTGAGCCCGAGCTCTCGATTGAGAAGATCGAGGAGGTCGTCTCTGTTCCCGAGATCGAGGTCGAGGAGGTCGTCGCCGTTCCCGAAGTTTCCCTCCCAGCCGAGGTTGAAGCTCCCGTTCTCGCTGCCATCGAGGAAGAGAAGGAAGCGCCCTTGTACGACGACACCTTCACGCTAATGGCGGAGATGGAGGCCGTTCACCGCGAGCTGGCACAAGTCCTCGGCGCGCGCAAGCAAGCGCTGCAGCAGGCCGCCTCTGCCGCCGCCATGGCCACTGCGACCTGCGGCCCGCCGCCGCAGCTCCCCCCTCGCCCATCCCCCGCCGAGACCAAGCTCGAGGTCATCCCCGCTGACGAGGACACGGCACTGCACGTGTTCAGCATGGAAGAGCTCGAGGAGTCCTCGTCGTCGCAGTCCTCGCTGCGCTCCTTCGGCGAGTTCATCGACAGCGCCTCCGCCTCGGGTCCGGGCCAGGAGTTCTCGCGGCCGCCTTCGCGCCAGATCAACCGCGAAGCCCCGCACTTCCCGATCATCGACGACGTGCTCAAGGAGTTTGAGGCGACGATGCGGGCCCCCACCGCCGGCGCCGTCGCCGAGATCGAGATCGAGATGATGGAGATGGACTCTGCCGAGTCCGGCTCCGAGAACGGCTCTGACAACTACGACCACGATAGCGGCCACTCCAGCGAACACGACGACTCCCGCAACGGCTCGTCGGGCGACGAGAACGAGAGCCGTCCTGACTCCCCCGCTACGAGTGTCAGCTCCAGCAACAACGATGATGACGATGTCAAGGAGGAGCCACTGGACTTTGTCCGCCCTGCCCTCGAGCACGTCGACTCGGGTATCTGCATGGAGGGCGACGAGTACGAGTCCAGGGAGGAGGATGAGGAGGAAGCTATCGTCGCCCAGTCCCCCGCCGAGGAGAAGACCATCCACACCGTCTGCGAGACCGAGCTCGCCGTTGTTGAGGAAGAGGAGACCGTACAGGCTCTCATCGAGGCCATCGAGCTCCCTATACCCACGCTCCAGCGCCCAAAGCTCATCCGCGCTTCCACCTCGCGCTCCTCGCAGAAGAAGATTCTGCCCCCGCGGAAGAACAACGGCCACAAGCGCATCCCGAAGAAGGTGCGGCTGTCGACAAGCGAGAAGCAGAAGTTCCTGAGCCGGCCTGTGTGGTAGAACGAGCGAGCGGTAGAGAAGAAAAGAAAAGAGAAAAGAAGTGAAAGAAGAAAAGCAGAGTGTGGCGAGCGATACACACATACACACATACATCGGAACTTCCTTTCGTCCAGTCATTCATTACACGGGTGTTCCATTTGTCCCACGGTGCGGTCGGTCGGTGCGGATTTGTTTATGGATTTGTTTTTGACTACACGGGTGGCGTTTGTTTTTGTTTTTGTTTTTCCTCTTTCTGTTTTCCGTTCTTCTGTTCAGTTTTGGCGTACGTTCTTTCTAGAGAACTTACATTCATCGCGACGATGGCTCTTTCGTTTGTCTTTCTTTTTCTCTTTCTCTTTCTTTTTCTTGGGGGTTTACCGGAGTATCTGCATTGCTTTGCTGTATTTAAAATCATCAGAATTATTACATATATTCTTCGCTGCTTTCTTCGCTGCTGGATGGGCTCGTCTACGTCGCTATTTCGAATCGTGCGATCTCCTGAAGATGTCTGCTGTTAACCCGTCTGCCGAGTCGCAGTTGGCCACGACTCACGAGTACTTGGCCCCGGGTTGTGTGTCGTTTGCACAGGGGGGTTTCATAGCTATCGTATCGTGGGCTTTCGAGAATCGACAGGCTGACTGCTTCATTCAGATGCCAATACCGTACCATGTACCCAAGCATCCTCTCTCCATCAGATCAAACCGTGACCCCGCACCACCGCAATAACCTCAAAACTCTGTCGAGACTCGACTGCACGCTAACACACCCAGCACATCGGCGATTACATATCACGTGTGCAGCACCGATCAGCCGGGCGGATATACCCGGGGGCCGGGGGGATGGGATGGGCCGGCTTGGCGCTTTAAAGCTTCGGACTCCGGAGCGTGCCAAGTCTGGAGTCTGGGAGCCCAGACTCCGCAAGCGCAGCTACGGAAGTCCAGCTACGGAAACCCAGCTATCGAAGCTTCGAAGCTTCGACAAGCTCACTACTCCAAGCTCCGAGCTCCGAGCTTCACCATCCCACGCGGAAGATCGATGCCGCCTACGCTACGTTTCCGATGAGATTCGATTATCACTCGAAAACACCGAAAACATCGAGGATTTACAGCTGACATACGGCTTGTTCGCGGGCTGGATTCGACAGTACTCTACGGCTACAGTTACGGCTACAGTCATCGGGATGCTGCCGTTTCGGAACCGGCACGGACTAGCGCCCGGGGCCGACACGACTGTTCATGCCAAGGTATGGCGCGTTCTCCGACTGGAGTTTGACAGCAGGGCTACAGGCATCGGTCGGATCCTATTGTTTCGGAATCTCTGCGAACTGGCTCCCAAGGCCCACAACTGCCCACACGCGGTCGTGTCGACCAGCATTTTTTCCGGTGAAGCGTCATTTGTGGGGATCTGCCGTGTGGCAGCGGAATGGGTGATGGAGATGGCTGTTAGGCGCCGCATTTGTGGCGTTAAGGTTAGACATTGGCACGTGAGCCTGGCGGCGGGACGGAAGATTTACAGGTCCTCGAGTTTGTGAGATAGACTTGGAATAAAAACACACATCGTTGCGTGCAGTTTCAGAAACACGGTCTGCGGATATGTATCGAGTGCACCCCCGTCCCCGGCCCACGATCTGTGCAGATGGAGGGCACATTTGGGCGGCATCAGACAGGCGCGGGACGAGTAGCCATGCATGCTAGGTATTGTCATATGAGCGCCGGTATCAGATAGTCAGATATTTGTTGATACGAAAGTGACCATACACTTTATTCGTTCGCCCTGGAAGAATATAGTGTTTTGTTTCCAAGCCAACAGATCCAGATTCAGCCACCTACATACTTCATTCCTTCCATTCCTTCCATTATTCTCTTCCACCCCGTCACGACAACCACGACGGATATTCTCAATCCGTCGACATGCAGAAATCTTTTAGTATAAACCTCCCCCCCCTCGCCCCGCCGACACAGCTTCAAACTTCACTGCTGCATCCCCATTTACCTTCACCTTCCCGGCTGCTATTCCTCGCTCCTCCAACTATTAGCTACATCAGTTGTTTCAACTCCTACCGTTTGTGCGAGGTTGAAGGTGATAGAGTAGCCACGCCTACTTCTCCTGCTGTTCGCTGTTCACATAGACCCATGCCGGGATCACTCGCCACACTTCGCGCATTCTCGCTGCAACCTCGCTTTGACAGAGCCCGATGGATTCTAGATTCTACAGATGTGCATCACTCGTCGCCCTTGCTTTCGTTCGTACTGTGCGAACATACACCTGTTTAAACATACACCTGTCTAAACATATACCTGTTTAATCTACGCGGCCGTGGTTAAGTCTTATTGTCCACAGTGCACACACGCCTCCCACCCGCCCCAAAAGAGTGACATCTCAACGCCTGCAAGCAACATTCAATTCTCCCTCCATCCCCCTGTAGAGTAAATATCGGTACCGTACAGATACCATCATCACCATCACCATCACCATCGCAGTCAGCAACAAGTTGCATTAACCAAACCAAACCAAACTAGGTATGATAATGGGTAGTAGGAACTTCCCTCGCTTGCTCCTCTGTACGTGCACACAAGTAACTTACGGGTACTTCTTCTGAATAGAAAGAGAAAGAGATAAAGAGATAAAGAGAAACAGAAAGAGAAGATAAAGGTAAACGTAAAGGTAGAAGATAAAAAAGCAAAGTGCAATGTAATGTAATGAATGACAGTACCAGAATGCCCAACAACAACCAACAACGAATAATCAAACCCGAAAAGAAAATAGAAGTGAATGAATAGCAAGATTTGACCGTGTAGAATAGAAACCCCGAAGCTGATCAAAAACAAGGTATATAGAACGGAAGGAAGGAAGGAAATGCAATGAGAGCAAGCATGAAAAAAAAGACGAGAAAATGAGAAATGAGAAAACGATAAACAAACAAAACACCTCCGCCCCATCTCCGAAAAAAAATATCCACAGCTATTTACGTGCCACATGTCCCTCTGCCAGGCTCCAGCGCATGCATCCGTATCCGTATCTCATCATCTGAACCCAGGTCCCAGCATTCCAGCGCGCCCACCACGACCCGCCCGGCCCCTTGGCACAGGCAGCTCAAAGTCGGGATTTCCCTGCAGCCCCACACTATGTCGGCCCAAGCCTCCCTGTGGCCGGCCCGGCGCGAGCTTGCTCTGCTCCTCCTGCCACCGCGGGTTGATGCCTCGCTGCGATATGCTCGTGAACCCGCTTGCGGTCGACATAGTCGGGCTTCTCGGTCCGTCGTCTTCGTTGTCCGGGATAGGAGGGGGGTGCGGATTCCACGGTGCGCCTGTGGGGGGATCGTAAGATACCGCGTTGGGAACCACCGGTGACAGTTGGTGCGGCACTGCCGGCAGCGGTGGGGTGGGTATTCTTCGGTCGTCCTGGAACGATGTGTCGAACTGCGGTGCCACATCTTCGTAGTACGAGTCCGACACGCGCTTCGATTTCGACGAGCCGGCACGAGAGGGGGGTCCGGGCCGTGTCACCGATGACCCGGGCAATTCGTTCAGGCTGTTCCGTGCTGCAGGGCTTTGCATGTCGTCCATCGGCCGTTGTGCTCGTGGGGGAATGTAACTGTCCTCCCCGAACACTGGGTGTGACTCATTGACCACTGCTAGCTTTCCAGTTCCACTGCCGGATTCGCTACTCAGCGCTGCCAGTTCCTGCGGCCGTGTCGTCTCCTCCAGGCGACCACCGTCCGAGAGCGCCCTGCCGATAACCTCGGTATTAACTGGAGCAAGCGTTTGTTCGAACTCCCTTCGCTCGTCCGAGTGGGTATTCTCAATTCCGGCGGGAAAGTCATATGCTTCCTGTGGAGGCTGCTGACGGCGCGGTGGTGGTGGTGCGCGAAGGCCGCCACCGGCCACCACCCCCATACCAGGCGGACCCATACCCCTAGGCTGAGAACCATAGTTGCTTTGCGGACCATAACCATGAGGGGGAGGGGGAGGTCCACGATTCATCGATCCCGGTCCCGGTGTGAAGCCGCCTTGATATGGTCCTCCTCGTCGAGGCTCGCGATCGTATCCTGCCGGTGGTCCTCGGAAGCCCCCTGGGCCCGGTGAGGGTCCGAGTCTTCCTTGCGGTGGCCCGTCGAATGTTCTTAGCATGGGCATAGGTTGCGGTCCTCCTCCTCCTCCTCCTCCGTATCCCCTCTCTCCTCCAAACCCTCTCTCCCCAGCATATCCTCCCTGACCACCTCTCTCCCCAGCATAAACTCCCTGGCCCCCTCGCATCTGTGGCGGCGGTCCATACGGCGCCGAACCTCCGTTGGCGGAACTATGATTCGAACCTGCATACTGGCCCCTGTACTGTCCTCCCATCGGAGCGGTCGGTCCCATCGGCCCGACACCACGAGCAGAATGAGCACCATGGTTACTCCGATCGCTACTCTCGGTCCGCAGCGTGTTCGAACGCGTGTAGACACCATCCTCCTGCGGCTCCAGCGCCGCAGTCCTAGGATTCAATGGAACCCGATCCCCATCTTGCTGGGATGGCTGGCCGGGCTTGTTGACCTCAAACATGGCGAATTCGGGAAGCTTGTCCTCGCTCTCCGCCGGCGCCGGCTGGTTGCGGAAATAGTTGTTTTGAGCTTGGCCCTGACCGTTCATCTCCGCATTGTCCTGGATCCTCTTGCTTCGCGCGATGCGACCCACGATCTGCCGACGCATGCCGCACATGACGAATCCACTGACCACGATTAGAATGGTCGCCGCCAGAACTATCCACCCGCCCCATTGCACGTGCGGAAGGAAGATGAGGATATCGACGAGGAACGCGAGGAGAGTAACGATCAGTGTCGGCAGACAAAGGATCAACAACGCGAGGAGGTATTTCGGGGAGTGCGCGGGCTTGTTCAGGTGTGCGGCGACACTGAGAATGAACAGGATCAACGTCAGGAACGCAGCGATCGGGTGGACGATCAACAGGTTCGTGAGGGAGTTGCGAGCTTTGCTGGGTAGCGAGAAGTCGGACTTGCCCTCGTTGGCGAGGATCGTATCTGCGATGGCAACTCCCCGTCAGCTCCTCGGTTCCCAACCTTCCGCCCCCGAGCTCCTCCCCGTACAATCGCGCCGACCACCGCGTCGCCCATCGCCGCCAGAATCCGCGAGAGACGCGACGTACCCATATCGTATCCGAATCCCACTTTACTGCATCCTGCTGTATCCGAGCACCAGCCAAAGACCCCGAACTTGACGCCACCAAAAGTCGCGATGTTTATTGAATTGATGATCGGACTGCTCAGCGTGCTCAGCAACAGCAACGCGAATGCCGCGAGCAGCAGTATGCTCAGAGGCGTTGCTGGTCGGAACATTGTCGGCGACTATTCGGTACGGGTGGGGGTGGACTGATGCGAATGGTGATGAGGCGTTGCCGGCGGCGGCGACGGCGTAGAGCCGCTTATTGGAACGAGGCGAGTGGAGCGAGTCACGATGGTTATCCGTAAAGGAATGTCGACGGTTCGATTATGGAGAAGGTAGTCGTGTGCGATCCCACGGGGGGAACGTCCGTGGTATGTACTTATTCCTTGCTTTTGCTGTGCGAAGGAGTGTGCAATCTAACACCGTGCGCCTCGGAGAGCCCTGTCAGAGCCGGACACGGTTAATAACGAGCAGCGGCTCGCTTCGGACACAGGAGGTGATCGGGGGAGGGCCGGCAGCGGCGACCACGACGAAGGTGGAGGTAGCGAGTCTTGGTGTAGTTTGGGGATTGTGGGTATATGTTGCGTAGGGGGGTAATGGTGGTAGTGGTGGTGGTGGTGGTGGTGGTGGTGGAGGTGGGGGGAGGGAAAGGGGAAGGCTTGTTTGAAGAAGGTGGTTATACGGGATGCGTGTCGCCCTCGTGGATTGCTTCGCGATTTGCACAGCAAGATGGCAACTACTAGTAGGTACCCAGCGAAACCGGTAGTTGTAGCGGAGGTGAGGCCGGCTCGTCGAGTAGATTTTTCCGCACGGGATAGATTGGACTTTTCTTCGCTGATTGAGTGAGAGGGGAGCGAGACGAAACACGACGAAACCCGAAACGTGCCCTGTTCTGGCCTGCGCCTGTCAGATCACGTTCGCTGGAGGAAGCTATAGTTGAGTGGAGGCGGCAAGCAGCAGCAGCAGTAGAAGGCAGCAACTAACGGGTAACTACTGGCAGCAGAAAGAGAGCAGTGACGAGCAGTGACGAGCAGTGGGCTCTATGCTAGGTAGTCCGCGGGCGCAGCGGGGGCGATGGAGATGGCGGGGCGGGGGGGCGAGGAAAAGCTGCACATGGAGGTGGACGTGGATGGCTGCTGGCCAGGAATTACCAACCCGACGGCGGAGGATGAATGGTAGATGGCAGGGCGAGATCTTCAAGTTGTAGAAATCAGGCTAACCATTGAAGCAACACCAATGACCACTAGTGGCTCTCGCCCGCTCTCACTTCGCCGCCCCGCATCGTCCACAGAGATCCTCGAAATCCGTGACAGCAGCAACCCCTCCCCGCCCGTCATCTATCCGCGGACTCGCCAGGTGTTGCCAATAGGTACGGGAGTGGGGAAGTGATTCTACGATCCTCACTTCACCAGGACAGCAGCTGCTCCACCTGGCAAAGAGCGCAAATCTCCAACTTCCCTACTAGGCTTCGACGATTCCTCTGGGACCCCATGCGCGCTACATATTACCTACCGCCCCCTGAACCTTCTTTGTTCCTCTTATCATAGCCTAAAGTCATGTTCACCAGCGGTTCCGCAGGACCACCCGTTCCAGCTGGCCATTGGCGGCCCAGAATCGGGCTCATCGGATTCGCGATACCACGGTATGTAGTCGGACGCGTATGCTCTTTCCGCAGCAGATACCTACATAAGTATGCTGCGTGGGGTTTCCTAGGGACGCTCTTGATCTCGGGGCGACGAAAACGACGTGATTGGGGCGCATTCCGATGGCTCTCGCCTTCCCTTCCCGAGGCGAGCAGTGGTGAAACCACATTGGCCCGGACTTTCCCCACCTGCAACATGACGACAAATCTTCTGCAGCGCTGCCACACCATCTTTCTGAGCCTCAACTGCATATAGATACATCTGTACATATGCCTGCCAGGCTCCAGCGGAGTTTGCCTCGAGTGCGGGTCTCACCCCCGGTGTGAGGCTTATTTTGTAGGAACTCCATGATGGTGGAGTAATAGTGTGCTTATGTTCCAGCTTATGCGCAGACCATCCCAGCCAGTCGGTGTATGACATCCTGTTCCTTTGACCCATCGACAAAGACCTGTTGAGCTGTTGACCCCATTGACTCTCGCGTATTCTAATACTGTGCGGGGAGAGCAGAGTTCCGGCACACGTAAAGCTTATATCTCGGTCGGAAGTTTAGAGAGAGACTTTCGCGACGAACCGTCGGCGTTTCCGAACGAGAAGCTTTGATGATGCTAAAGACAAAGATGATCTCCCGGCCCCATAGAGGTTAGCACCAAGGAGCCAAGCCGTGTTACGTGATAGTCACTCGATGACATACGGCAGCGAGTTCGAACATTTACTAACACGCATACGGTCCTCGGAGGCATTACCTTCACAGGTGAAGCAATAACCGCCAACTACCATTGGATGTGACTACCTACTCTACACTCGCAGGATCACCATTCAACCGGGCACTGGAGGATCCATCGACTCGGTGCAAGATAGGCTATTACGCAGATACGATCGGCATCGTCGGCACAAATCTCGGCCAGCAATCTCTTGAGGATCTGCGGCGGCCCGTGGTTCAGCTTCATTAGCAGCTCCGGCCGGTTATGTTGGCTGATATGAGCGGAGCTGGCGAGCTTGGTTTCGAGTTTGGGTTTCTGCCCGGTGCAGACTTGATGGGCGAGGTTATGTACGTGAATGGTCCTGCGGCCGGAGTGGGGGATGGAGTTTGGGGTCAGTCGCTTGGGGGGAGTGGATTTTGGGTCGTTGGTCATTGGGCGACTGCGTCACTGCGTTCATGAGTCGTCAATGGTTTCGATTGACTGGTCAATTTGGGGGTTGACTTTTTCAATTCTATTGCTTGTCGTTCGAAGAGAGTCTGTTACCGGTATTTAGAGGTTAACTTCGTTTCTAATTCGACATGGCTTCTGGTGAGATTGTGAAATGTGCGAGGGAGGCGCAGCCATCAGTGAGGAGAGGAGACCAACTTTCAGGCGCAAGCCACACGGTATCGATCACCAGACCGTAGGTGCCGTATTCCTGCTGGAAACTTCGGTCGACAGAACTCGGTTCCTACATATGAATGAACGAAGCAGCTCCCACAACCCACGAGAAGGAAGGCGGTGCCCGTGCCCGTGCCCGTGCCCGTGTCCACTGCCCACGGCCGGCTCCAGCGGCTCGCTTCCCGCCCGTTGCATCACTAATTTCGTTTGCGAGGCTGACCGATAACTGCCTAAGAAACGCGCAGGCAGCAAAGTTGGTGAATTCGCCAGGCCAGGGTTGTGGAACCTCGTTAGTTCGAACTTCGTCGGATCTGTTCGACAAGGAAGGCGCTGGACGGTGGACCTGGTGGAGAGATGGAGAGAGGAGCGACCAGCCAGCCAACCAAACTCCGCCGTCGGTGCCGTTCATCTTACCCTACATACAGATACTCCAGATGACTGCCCCTTTTTGAGAGCAGGCGGGGCGTTTTTCTACTCTACATAAATACGCACGCGACCAGTCTCCCACGGCTGTTGGGCGGGTCGGGTCCGAAGGAGAAGAGAAGCAACGGCTGTGACCGGCGGACGGGCGGGCTGCCTGGTGGCGCGAAGAGTGAAGAAAATTTTGAAAAGCGGCGATCCTGGGCCCGAAACACGAGCCAGGATCGACCGTCGACGCCGAAACCGCGCCGCGCCCGGCCGGGACAGGGCATCGTGGTCGTGGTCGCCGTCCTATGTACATATGTGCACGGGGCGGGGGAGGTTCGTCGGGTAGGGCGAGTTTTGAGCAGTATGTACTCGCAGACCAGCACTGGTCCTCGTGACCCCTTAATCTCGTCCGTATCACTGTCGCTGCTTCGCGCATTTCCTGGAGGTGGTGATGTTCCGCGCCCAGCAATTACTCCCCACCTGCGCAGAAACCGGCTTGCCGATCACTCGCAGCCACAAACATACCGGTACCGGTATCATGTATGCGCGTTGTCCAACCTCCGTTCACGATTCGTTAACGGAGTGTGGCTATTAATGGCCTCGAGAGTCGAGACTTTTGAATTCTTAACTTTGAACCTTGAACTCTGAAGCCTGCCACCGTGCAGACGCCGGAATCCAGATGCCCTACCTTTGTACGCAAAGCGCGGTGCCACCACGCGCCGACTGCGCCCATGGCCCAAGCCATTCCTTTCCGACCAGAACAAGAACGATAACACAGATGTGACTTTGGCTTTGGCTTTGGCTCTGGGGAATTCTCGATTTAGTCGAGCGTGGGATTCGGAGGGGGGACTGGACTGCGCGAAGGCTTGGCCTGGCCGCTTCCATGGTAGGGCGTGGGAGGGTTCTGAAGCTTCTGAAGCTTGAAATTGTTTTGTGACTTGTCTCGCTATTCGCAGCCGGCCTGATCGCTGCTGCCAACCCGGCCCGAAGCCGGGAGATTGCGGGGACGGCTAGATCGCGTAGTTATGTACAACCCTCGGGCCGACGGGCTGCTGGCAATATCGGTGAGGCACTGAGGCTCAACCGTTGTCGCCGGTGCAAAATATCTGTATTCCGTAGCTTTGGAGGGTTTGTGGCGTTTTCACAACCAGCAGTTGTAGTGGTTCTGGCGAGTCTTTGCGCTGCGACTGACTACGAACGACCAAAGTACTGCAGAGCTACTACAGGATTGCCCGTGTAGATTCGAGACGTGCCAGGCTTAATCGTCAGCGAACCACTACTCCGCGTGGCGGGCTCGAGTGAGGGGCACGTCTCGGAGGCGCGCCAGCCACATTGTATCAAGTCCCGCAAAGCCTATTGAAGAATGACGTTCGGAAACCATCATTCCTGCTCGAGTCTATCCGGCCGGCGAGGCCCTTTAAATAATGGGTTAAGTAGTATGTCGTGTCTGGGGTGTGACAGAGCTCTGCCACCACCACCACCACCACCACCACCACCACCACGGAGCGAACCTCGCCCCAGCAGCCGCCGCCCCAACACACCAAAACGCTCCACACAACCCTCCTTCCATCCCATCATCGACTTCCATCGACCCCCCGACCCCGCAACTCCATCTGCCATCCCGTCCACCAAAACCCGACTGTACAAGTTACTTCTTATCCTCCGACACCCTCGATCACCGACACCTCGCAGCAATCCCTGATTTAGGCAATCAATCCGTAACCTCACCCACCCTCGTCCTGCTCCCCCCTCGCCACCAACCTCCCCACGACCTACGACAAGCTGGCAGGGTGTAGACGTCCCAGTGCCGGCGTGATCGCCAGGATCAGAATGTTTGGTAGCGGCGGCAACATCAACGACGCCAGTAACAGCAACGACGCCAGCTCGCCCGGCTCCCCGCCCGACAGTAAGGAGGGCGGCGAGTCCTCTGTCGGCTCCCCCTCCTCTTCTTCGTCGCATCGTCGCTCGTCGACTCCCGCTCCCGCGCCCGCCCAGCCCCCTACAATCGACACGGCCGTTGTCGGCAGCGAAAAGGACAAGAAGGAGGAGAAGCCGTCCCACCACAAGAAGAAGACGTCGAAGGCACGCGATCTGATCACTTCGGCGAAGAACTCCATCGGCGGCGCCATCAACAGCATCGCGGCTGAGGACAAGAAGAAATCCTTCCGCGTGCTCCCGAGCACCGACCAAGATGTGCAGCTGGTATCCCCCGGCTACCTGAACAATGCCGCGGGCGACTCGAGACCCGGGCCCAGAACCACGTTTCGCGTCGGCGTCACGGAAGACAAGAACAAAAAGTGCCGCAGGACTATGGAGGACACGCATTCGTTCCTGTACAACTTCCTCGCGAGCAGTCCGGACGGCGATAGCCCGGCCGAGGAGGACTCGGATAACGGGTACTTCGCCATCTTTGACGGACACGCGGGCACCTACGCTGCTGAGTGGTGCGGACGCCGGCTGCATCATGTGCTCGAGGAGATGATCCGCAAACATCCGAATACGCCCATTCCGGAGCTGCTCGATATGACGTTTACAAACTGCGACGGCCAGCTCGAGAAGTTGCCGGTAAAGAATAGTGGTTGCACAGCGGTGTGTGCAGTGCTGCGCTGGGAGGATAGAGCCGCCCCTGGCTTGCATCTGCCCACCGCCGCCGTGGAACCCCGCGAGAAGAATAGCACTACCGCCGCCGTAAGCGACGAGAACGCAAAACCGAACTCATCCCCGACGCCTCCCGCGACGCGTACCGAGAGACAGCGTGTCCTCTATACCGCCAACGTCGGAGACGCAAGAATCGTGTTGTGTCGCGGTGGAAAGGCTTTGAGGTTGAGTTATGACCATAAGGGTAGTGACGAGAATGAGGGAAAGAGAGTCGCCAATGCGGGTGGTTTGATCTTGAACAACCGTGTCAATGGTGGGCTACTATTTCATGCTCTGTGGTGAGCGCAATGCTGACGCCGATACAGGTGTTTTGGCTGTCACTCGTGCTCTCGGAGATAGCTACATGAAGGAGTTGGTGACTGGGCATCCATACACGACCGAGAGCGTCGTCCAGCACGATCTCGACGAGTTCATCATCCTAGCATGCGACGGTGTAGGACTCTCCCAGCCTCATTTTCTCTTCATTCCAGAAGGCTACTGACGTATACGCGCGCCGATTAGCTATGGGACGTCTGCACCGACCAGGAAGCCGTCGACCTCGTCCGCTACGTCAAAGACCCGCAGGAGGCCAGCAAGATTCTCGTCAACCACGCGTTGAGTCGCATGTCGTCCGACAACCTGAGCTGTATGATTGTGCGGTTAGATCCGAGCGGGAAGTTTGAGGGCGTCGACTCGTCGCCCATTGGTTCTCCAGAGCCGAAAGCGGATGCGGGCGAGTCGAAGAGGGATAGCGTTAGCAGGAAGTCGGAACAGATTCCCTCTCCTTCGCCTAAAGGGACTGGCGAGAAGGTCGCTAAAGGATAGTACCAACGGAGTGGCAATGGCGGGGGCGGTGGTGGCAGTAGTAGTGGTGGTGGTGGCGGTGGTGGTGGTTGGAGTGGGGCTGAAGTTCGCCGCAGGCTGGGCTTCTAAGCTTTGAATATTCTTTTTTCGTGTGCTTTCCAAGACTATAAGTAAACCTGTATCGCCGGACTCTGAGGTCGACTGGATGAGAACGAGATCGGTTTCTTGGTCGGCTTTCCTTTCCCTGTGCATTGCGGCAACGAGTTTTTTCCTCCACGCTTCATCATCTCGTTCATTATCATGGTTTTCACATGCATTGGACATTTCGCGTTTCTTTCTATCTGCAGGTTTTCGTATCGTATCGTATCGTATGCCATGCACTCGTTTGGTTCGTTTGGTTCGTTTGTTTCCCCGCATGGACATATTTGGCTGTTAAGCGGTTTTTGCTACACATGGCATGCACTCTTTTTTGATTTCCACGGTTGACTACGGCTGGTTCGGTCTGATCATTGATGGCCTGCCTGACTGTTGACATGACTCAACCCGGACCCGGGAATAGAAGTCTCTCGTTCTGTCTCAGGCTCGGTCTCGTGCCGGGAGCTGATTCCTGTGCTTGTACTTGTGCTTACTTGTGGTGGTGCTGGTGTGCTTGTTCCCTGTGCCCGCGCATGCGTCTTTGGAAGATGCCTCTGCAGACAACCTCTCAGAGGCGGCGGGCATTCTTTAAGCTGTGCATTAGCTTGAGCGGATGATCTCATTCAGCATATCCATCCCCAGAACTGCGGACATCGCCAATCTGCTTGCATCGCAAAAAGCAAGTCGAAACTGCCCGCCTTCTCCAGCTCGGGCTAGCCAGCGATAGCAAGGCTTCTTCCCCTCCATCCATCCCATCATCCTTCCATCCATTCATCGGACCTCCCCTCCTCCGTCCATCGCACCCCGCACGAACTACTCCACCGATCCATCCCATCCTTCCCCCTCGTCCTTGACGGTTGGTTGACCTTCCGTATTTTCTTTGTCCTTCCTGCACGCCTGGGAACGAGCCCTTTGGCAGCCGGCTATTGTGTTTCACATCTCGGTAGCCACCCCTCCCTCCCTCTCTCGCACCCCGCCGACGCTGGCCCTCTTTGAATTTTGGATCCCTCTTCCCAGCCATCGGACACATCCTCCGCAATCAACCGCCACCATCCCGTCAGACAGGTTGCTAGGGCAACGGGCGTGTCGGCTGTGCCCATAGTAAACACACGCACTTGCACACTTGCACACCCTCCCCCAACGTTCGCAGTTCGCTCGCTCGCTCCATACTTAAAACTAGTCTCACTCGCCGCTTGTTCCTCCTCTCGCTCGGTCCACCTTCCTTCCCTTTCTTTCCTCCCACTTCCCACAAAGCTGGTCTCTTCTCGATCCCCATCCCCGCGAAGAAGCCCTGCTATATTCCTCCCTACTTCTTCTTCTTTTCTTACGTTCGTTTTGTAGCCTTGGAAACCCGCACCATCAGATAACTGGAATCTGCTTCGCGCTTCCACTCGAGAACAACCCCCCCACACACCCATACACGCACCGCAGAACACAACACCAGCCAGCCCCAGCCGCAGCACGCACAACAACAACATTCACGAATCACGCACGACCGTAACGAAAGCGCACACGCCACCCCGTCCACGTCTACGTCCACGCCACACTTACGCGCCCACATCCACAACCGCTTCCACTTCCACCACCACATCGACATCCGCCACCAGCAAGCGAAACGAGAAACGAGCAAACGAGCAAACGAGCAAACGAGCAAACGAAGCGCAACGCGTACTTTACAACCTTCCACATGGCGGTGGAAACACATCAGCGCCAGCTGTCGGACGAGATCGGAAATGTCATCGATACGCTGCACGGCCTGTTTGACGAGATAGGACTCGCGCGCTATGAGCGCGAGCAAAGAGAGAACTCCGTCTATGCCGCCATCAGCGCTGCGCTGGACGAGCAGTTGAGGGTTGTTTCGCAGTAGGTTCCCCTCTTTCTTTGACGAGCGTCGCGAGGAGCGCCGGTGGGAGCGCGGGCCGGTGGGCTGGTGGGAGTGTGGCTGATTGTGAGGGCCGTAAAGGGAGAAGGAGAAAACGCTGCAGGAGTGTCAGCAAATCCTGGCGCAGACTAGACAGATGGAGCGGAGTTTGGCCGATGAGGATGAGTACGATGAGGACGACGACGAGGACAATCAGATCACCCTCCCCCTGCTCAAATGTCTGCAGGGACTGAAGGAGCGGCACAAGGCGGTCAAGAGGAGACATGCCGACAGATATGATTCGGTTAAGAGTATGTTGCCATGTGTTGCATTGCGTTGTGTTGTGTTGTGCATCCCGCGCGCAGTACCAATCGGCGACTGACTGACGTGACTACTGCAGAGCTCGTACATGCGCTTGACACATACGCTTCCCGGCTGGAATCCTCCGTAGTTCAGATCGAGCTTCCTCCAATCACCAACGACTCGGCGTCAATCGCCGATTTCGATCTATCGCACACCTATTACGAGCGCCTGGAGCACGAGTTCAATCGCGTTTACGAAGAGTTTACGCGCCGCGTGTCGACCGTCGAGTCATTCGCTAAGGACATCATCAACCTCTATGCCGAGCTGGGAATCCCCTCCGCACAGACCGATAGAACGATCGTCGAGTACGGGACCGCTGCGCCGGAGAGGCTGGGTCTGACGAGGGACGACATCGAGAGACTGAAGTCGAAGAAGGAGAAGCTTGTCGGTGAGAGGGAGCGCAGGCGCGCGAGGACGGATGACCTGAAGAGGGAGATTAATGAGCTCTGGGGGAAGCTGGGTGTGCCCGAGAACGACATGAAGTTGTACCTCGCGCAGCACCGGGGACTCGATCCGAGAACGATACAAGAGGCGAGAATCTACCCGTTCCTGACTGTCGTGATCGCGCGCTGACGGGTGACGTGATTTTTAGTTGGAGGATGAACACCACCGATTACTCGAACTGAAGAAGGCACATATGCACGTTTTCGTCGAAGACGCACGGCACACGCTACACGAACTCTGGGAGAAACTCTACTTTTCCGAAGACGAAATGCTCAACTTCTCGCCGGCACAGACCGATGTCTACACCGATGCGCTGCTCCAGGCCCACGAGATGGAGATCCGTCGCCTCGAATTGCTCTACGAGGATCGCAAACCGATGCTCTCCCTGGTCAATAAGTACCGCGAGCTCATGGACGAGAAGGAGCAGCTTGCTCTGTTAGCTCAGGACTCGTCGCGACTCATGTCCCGTGGCCCCCGCGATCCGACCCGTTTGCTGCGCGAGGAGAAGATGCGGAAACGTATCGCCAAGGAGCTTCCGAGGATCGAGATGGAGCTCAAGAAGGCATTGGAGATCTGGGAGGAAGAGAACCGCGAACCATTCCTCGTGAAGGGTGAGAACTATCTCGAGACGCTGATACGCATGTCGCCTGTGGCCCAGTCCAGAGCTGCGACCAAGACTCCTGTCGCCAACAGGGGCCGGTCCAACACTGCCTCGTCCATGAGCAGCTACAGCAACGTATCCGGCAGTCAACAGCGAGCGAAGTCACGTCCCAACCTCAAGGAACCGGCGTCGGAGATGCGACCACCCCCGAGGTCTAAGACTCCGGGTGCGCGACCGAAGACACCCGCCGGTGGGGCGCTCGTCAATTACAGCGGGAACTCCTCTACCATAGGAAGGACCGGCGGCAAGAACTTTGCTTCGCAGTTCAGTGGCCGTACCGGTACACCGATGCTTGGAAACAACACACCGTGTTTGGGTGGCGGTATCGCTCGCCCCGTTAGTAGCAACGCCTCCGCATCGCCCACACGTGGTGGTGGTGGCCGACCACCCATCTCAAACTTCATCGCCGATCCCGAGGAGGAGGGGGAGATGTCGGGCACCATGACCATCGGCAGGAATGCTTCTGTCAGACGGAAGTTTGCTGGTATTCTGGGCGCAGCTCCCAAGATGTTACCCCTTTCCCGGTCCGAATCGCACAAACAGATGACACCGTGGCAGCGCCACAAGCTCGAGCAAGACGAGGCGACCGGTCTCTCCAAGACTTCGAATCTGTCTCGTGCCGAGTCGTGCAAACAGATGACGCCCTACCAACGCCTCAAGCTGGAGCAAGAGCAGCAAGAGCAGCAGCAGCGTGAGAAAGAAGACACGCGCTCCTCGCGCGGCAGCAGAAGCATCCGCAGCGTCTCTCCATTCAACGAATCGCCCACGTACCGCACGTACGGCGACGTGTCGGATCATGAAGAGACGAGGTCGGTGCCTCGGGGCGGTACCTACCGGCCCAACTCAAAGAATAACTACATGGGCGGGTACGACACCTCCACAATCCGTGCGAGTCAGACCTCAACAGTGGATTCTAGGCAGTTCAGCGCGAGCACCCTGAGTTCCAGCAGCAGCATCAGCACCCCCGACGGCGGCGCTGGAAGCGAAAACTGGGAGACGTTCGGCGAGGAGAGCGAATACGGCGACGATACGGAACTCGATCCGCGCGCCGCGTATTATCGCGAACGTGCCAGGGATGCCTACGAGGGTAGCGTCAAGAGTGTGTACGAAGGTAGTGTCAAGAGTGTAGGCCTCGTTAGCAACGATGGGTGGAGGAGCGAGGACGGATATTGACCCCCCTCTCCCCGTACACAGTGATGGTGATGGGTATCGGTGAAGCTGGCTCCTAGGTGTTTACGTTTCTTTCTCTGTACTTGTTGCATCTCCTTCGGTATACCACATTTTCTCCACGGTTGTTGCATGTGTTTTCTGCCTGTCTCGCTTCTTCTTGTTCTTGTTATTTACGCTGGCTGGTTCACGGCCGAGATATTTTTACCCCTCCCCCTCCCCCTCCTCCGAATCGTATGTCTGTCTGTCTGTCTTTCTTCTGTTTTTTCCCCCAGGAGGGATGATGAAGGAACGTTCTTCTCCATGGGGTTTTTTTTCTGCGGAGTGGGGAGTTTTTGGTGGGTGGGGGTGGCATGGGAGGGGAGTGGGGGCTTGGGAGGGGGCGTTTTACTTGTTTGTTTTGATTTTGAGTTTTATCGATTGTGTCGATTGTGTCGATTGTGTGTTTTTTTGGCTTTTGTTTTGGCTTTTGCTCCCATGCGTGTGTGGCAAGCGCGTTACTATTTTGCTTTATTTGTTTGTTGTTTGTTTGTTTTTCAGCATTGCGCTTTGGTTTTTTGTTGTTGTTTTGATCTGCGCACGTTCCCCAGGCGAGTGGAGTCGGGCGGGGAGTGGGGGGACATTGTACTGGTATGTAACAAGGGTGGGTCGAGGAAGGAGTTGAGGAAGGAGGGGCTCGATCAATTGTGGGTGGGTCGCTCAACTCTCAAGTGCGGATGGAACAGTGGAATTTGGAAGGGAATACGTTACCGTACGGTGTGATGGTGAATCTGAATCCAAAACACAAACGCAGTGCACACATGCAGAGTCAATGCAGGCCGGATGTACGATGGGGTGCGCGTGACTGAGGCCGGGACTGGGACGCAGCCTGCTCGCTTAGTTTTGGGTGAACTGCTGCGAGCTGAAAGACTGAAACTGGAGGACTGGAGGGCTGGAGGACAGGTCTGGGGTGACGCTGCAGCTTGCAGTCTGCGGCCTGCGGACTGTGGGGCTTTGTTTACTTTTAAGGTCTAGAGAGGCAATAGAGTAGATAGATGGACTGGGATGGGCGCTGCGGAAAATCTTGTGGAGGGTGGAGAATACGAGGGTGGAGAATAAAACGGTGGTGTGGTGTTCTACACTGACTCCCGAGCATGATATTGGAGAGGTAAGGCGCAGCGGAAATATCTAGATCGTCTCGGTCTCTGATGGGATATCTACAGTGATTTCAGCGATGACAGCTATTGCAGTAATTATAGCTACGCCAGAGCTTGCCAGAGCTACATAGCTGTTGGGCTGCCATTGGACTGCTATTGGACTGCCATTCAACATTGGGCTGCCATTGGACTGCAATTAGACTGCCACCGGCGAACAGCAAACTACCTGGGTACGTCCCCTCCCACGGTCCTACCTACTGTCGAAATCCGAGCTACTTTCGGCCCGAGGGTGGCGATACCTGCCGAGCATGAAGCCTTACGGGATGTACTATATAGAGGTATTAGGTAGATGTAACCGTGGTATAGGTATTTGTTCGATCAATTTCGCCAGCCAGTGCAGTGGTCAGTCTGGGAGGGGGGGTGCTCAGCCGTGCACAGCCATGCACGTGATATCACTCGCCTGCGAAATTCCGCACCGTGTTGAGAAGTTCCGTTCCGGAGTGCCTGAATCTACAGCTAGAGCGTGCCCAACAGGCACAAGACCTTGGGACTCTCGATGTACACACTCCACTTCCACGCCACTGTTCAGCCCGACTTTCATCGAGTGGCTCGATGTGGCTTTCCCTGCCCGCCGCCCCGGCCTGTCCCAGCGATGATGATAGAACGCACCAAAGAAATGACACTAAGAAAAGACATCTTCCCCATCCTCTCCCTACTCCGCTCCGCTTCCTACCTCTTCATCAGCGGATGCCATGAACGAGGCTGTGGGGAGGAACAGCGAGAATGGCCCCGGCTCCTCAACCTCAGCACCCTCCTCCTCCTCTCGCCTCAGCTCTGCCTCCCTTCTTCCCGATCCCTGAGCTCCCACTCGGATACCTCGCTTTCTGAATCATCCTCAGCCGCCTCTGTCATCCGTCTGCCCACATCAGTGGAAGAGAGGAAGTCAGTATGGCCTGGCTGCACCTCTCGTCTGCGAAGAGGTCCCGGATCTTGAATTGACCCTTGCTCCTCTTCGTCTGCTTCCGTACCTGCGCCCACAGTGTTTTCTGCTGGCTTTTCCATTCGGGGCAGTTTTTTGAGAAGGTGCTCCCGGAGTCCCGTGTTTGGGTCTTGTAGCGGCACCACCCGCAGCGGGCGTCTGGTCAGTTTGTCGTCCCCTGGAGGTACTGGCCGGTGAGACAGTGTCCTGTCTTCAACTGGTAGAGCCTCAAGGCCAGGTGCTTGGGGGCGATATATAGCTGGGATCGGGTCCGACCTCTGGCCAGATTTCTGCCGAACCAGTACTTCTTGTTGGTGACTCGTGCGTCGGCCCATTCTTTGCCTTCTTTCCACTTGATTTCCGTGATTCCTCGTCTTAGGTATGCGAGCGATGCCCGTGCAGTGGTGGCTGACTGGAGCCGTACCTATACATGTAGCGAGTGACCTCCACTCCGCGAGCGGTCGGGTTGCCAGTAGCTAGTGTGGCCCATTCGTCGGCCTTTTCATTCAGAGCCGCCTTTGTGTGCCGGGCATCATCTGATCTCGATGTTGATCTCCGGCTCTCTTCGGCGGAGGGAGGGTGGCAAGGTGCTTCTGTGCCTCAATGGCGTACCTCTGGCCAGGGCCAGGGGTATTGTAGGTCATCTTTCCGATGGCTGCTTGCACGTCCGTCTAGGTAGATGGTGACTCTGCTGAGTGCGTGCCGTCTAGCAGCGGCTGCCTTCGATGCGCGGGCGATGGCGGCGCATTCTGCATCATAGGCCTCCTGCTAGAACCCCATGTGAGCCTTGTATCCCTTCAAACCAGTGCCGTGGCGCCAGATAACCGCGTAGCCGGCTGCTTTGGTTTCCGTCCGATGATCCATTGGTGTATATCGATAGTCCTGGGGGTTGGGGATGCCGCCACTGGTGTTGGTAGACGGGTAGGTACTGGACTCGGTCGCTGCGGAAGATGTAGTCCCCCCAGCGACATGTCCGAGTGGAGTAGGAAGTCGGGAAAAGAGAAGGGAAGAAAGACCTGCAGGCGGAGACTCGCCCGAGGCTACCGTACTAGACGGGACGGGACGGAAGGCGTTGAGAGCGACGACGAGGGACGAGTCGGCGGGCGCGAAAAGCTTTTCCGATGTAGTGTTAATAGTTATTTCCTGGGTGCGCTCATGGATTGTCGGGAAAGGCCACGGCTGTGGTAGGGGAAGCCAGATCGGGCCGCTCGACGAAAGTCGGGTTGCACAGTAGCGGGGAAACGGGGGTTACGGATGGATATTGCCATGATCTACCGGTAGATCACGACGTCTGCGCCAAAGAGAGTCACCATGAGATCTGTGTACGGAAGGGGGACCGCCGGAGCCGGTTGCGGATTTGACCGATTAGCAGCTCCTTTTTGGGTGATTAGGAGCTCTGACCTGTCGTTCTTTTCCCCCCGGGGTGTGAATTCGATCTGTTGGGCTGCTGTGAGAACGCCGAGTGATATCTGTGAACGAGTGTGTGTTCTAAGCGTGGATCGCGGGGGATACGGTTGCTGAATACAAATTGGAAGTCTAGCCTTACAGGATGGGATTTTAACTTGTCGACGTGATCATGTTCCGGCTGCGAATGTACGGGCCGGCAGGAGCAGCTGCCGTCAGCATGCTTCTCTGCCGGCGGCTCCTGATGGCTCCGTCGCTTTGAGAAACTATATGGGAATGTGGAGAGCTAGCATAGCTACTTTCCTACGTAGCCTCCTCGGTAAAATGAGGTACCACGAGATGCTCGACCCGGCTGAGGCCGAGCTGTGCTCATTGGGCACTGCTCTACCGAGTAATAGAGGGTGCTCGACCACCGGGATACAATAGCTACAGACAGATCAGCTGCACGAGATACTAGAAACAACTCTTCGTAGAATTGGTCCAGTCGGCACGGCAATTGTATGGCCTCCTCGGATAGTCCTTCGTCGCCCATTTATTTCCCAGCTGCCTCCGACCAACGACCTCCACAGCACCGAAGATCCACACCACTGGAGCAGTAATCTGTCGAAACACACACATCCACACACTCACATATTCACATATCTACACGGAGACACTACACGCACCATCCAACAACACACTGATCAACAATGCCTTGCGGAAACCAAGCCCCCGTCCCCGCCAGCGCCATGCCGTGGATCGTGGGTGGCCACAGCCCGACCACAGCTCACTTCTATATCTCGACCGACGATTTCCGGCGGCTACCACCGGAGGAGCGCGTCCTCTTTCTACTGCACGCGCTGGACCTCCTCGAGTGGCAGCTAAACGCTTTCTACGACGACATAGCGCGCGCCAACTGGATCCGACGAGCGAGACACATCCACGATTTTTTGGATCAGCAGGATATCGCGTTTGCGCTTTTCAAGCTACCGTTTGCAAACGCGGATAGGGGGGGTGCCGAGGATCGCGAAGATGGGGATTGGGAGGATGGGGATCAAGAGGGGGAGGATCCGAGTCGAGACTGCCCGTGGAAGTGAAGGCGAAAGGCGGGAGATATGAGGTTACGTCCTGGATTGGGTTGCAGTGGTGGTTCTTCTGCGTCACTGTAACTCATGGGAGCTTGGGGGAGCTGTTTGGGGTTTTTTCTGATGGTGGACTTCTGATTGCTTTCTTTTGATGCTTAATGCTGTTTCGTGTTGTAGGCTGTTGTGCTTTGTTGTTGATAATTGATCCGGTGTGTCTTAATTCACCAAGCATATCGATGATTATAATGCTATGTAGAGGAAACCATCTGGCATCAGCTTCAATCACGGTCGTTCGCCGCTGGTCCTGGTCGTCACCGCTCCCAATAGTATCCAAAGCCGTAGTCGTTCGAATGTGGGAGTCTTTGGTCGTGTACAGAATCCTTTCAGAAGATTTTACCACATATTACTCGCCATCCCCTCTCACGTGACCCATTCAATACCTAGACCGTGTCCGAGAACCTATACTTAACCTCCGTGCGCCTTTGAGCCTCGCGTACTATGCTAGTTTATCGAACCCTTGATTTACTTCTCCCGCACATAAGGGCTACCGAGTGCACACGTGTATCGAGTTGTACGTATTGGTCGTAATTGCCCGAGCTTACCCTCTGGGCTTTCAGGGAAATCGTCCAATCTGAAGATCGGAGGCTAGAGCTGGAGGACTGTATCGCTTTACTATCCTAGATGTCTACCAGTTCAAAAGCCTGAAGCGGCATCGGTCTTCAAAAGTGTGAGATCAATCACCTTGTTGGTTGTGTCGAACCGACTCTCTCGATATTAGAACGTGGTGTTTCTCGCCTTAGATTTCCGTGTCACACTAGCTTGGCTCGCGAGGCTGGATTATAATAATACAGTTGTTTGTAGCCGCTATTTGCCCTACAGGTGAGTCTGCAAGAGCCCATTCACACTGAGGATGTGGCTGGCGCCGTAGGAAAACACCCGGCCTCAACTACCTCCTCCTTCTCCTCTTTCACCCACCAACTCAACCATCCTTCCTCCATCCACTTCACCAACCACTTCCCTTCCGATATCAACTTCACCAACCAATTCCCTCTCGATTCGAATCGTCGCATCAACATCCATCCAACTACAATCTACAAGATGACCTCCATGAACCCACTTCTCTCTTCCGGCCGCACCTCCTGCGAACCCGAGTTTACCTCGCCCAGTCCGGATCACACCAACAACACCGCCGCCGCCGAGTACATTCGCTCAACCGCAGACATCAAGAACCTCTACGCCGTCATCGTCCGCAACACTATCGTCGCTGCCGCCGCCTACCGCGCCCGCGCCATCCTCAACGCCTATTCACCAGCCACGCCCAAGCGCGCTCACGCCGAACCGGTCTCCGACGCCGCCATCACCGCCCGGTACTATTCCGCCGTCACCAGCGTCAACAACGCCAACGCCATCGTCGCCGCCAACGACGCTATTGCGGCCGCCTACTATGTCCCCGCCCCACCCGGCTTCGTTAATAAGCGCATCCCCCCCGGCTTCAGCCTCGAGCCTAGCGGAATCATGAAGCTCAAGCTGGCGTACAATAGGTGGCGCCTGGGCCTAGATCCTCTTCCACCTTCGAGCCTCGTGCATAGCTCTTAGTAGATTAGGAGGGACCTCTGTTTGGTTTTCTTGGACTTTAATTGATAATTTTTAAAATAATTTTGCGATTTTTATTGTCGAGTGATATTTGTGGTTCGAGATGCTCGTTCGCTAGTGGAGCGATTGTTGGTTAGAGGGAAGGGTGCTGTAAGCAGAAAGCTTCGAACGTTAGTTCCTATTACTACTACGTTTTGCGGAAACAGATGTCTGCTGGTCTTGGGTTTCATATTGTCGTTCTGTGTAGGGTTGAATATGGCGAGTATGCATTCGAGATGGGCTTGATTTTTGGGGGAGGGGAGGACGAACAGATGTCTCTTCTACTTCACTTCTTTCTCGGGAATAATAGAGTAATTAGTATGGTTGGGTGCTCCGTGAAGAGAGATCAGAGCGCTTGAGATCTGCCCGTGCTTCGATGCGGCATGAGTATCACTCGGTCACCTTTGCGTCCATCCGTAGTGTGATGGTTTGTGTTCAGCACAGGTGTTTCGGCAGCTTTATGGCTGGCATGGTCTCGGAGTCCGGAGACCATAGGAACAAGCTACCGGTTATATCCACCCGGAAAAAGACGTTTTGTAAAAGATAGGATCGAGTGAGAGAGGCTAACTTACATCCTACGATTCGAGTGATATCATCTACGCTCATAAAGAAGCTAGGTCATTGAAAGCAAACCAGCTCTCGAAATCGCCGGCTCGACCCTTCAAAACCACCATAAATCTTCACCCTCCCTTCCTCTCTTCCTTCTCCTTCATCCTTCAACATCCCTTCACAGAACAACATCCTCTCGCACAAAAACAACAATAAGCAACACTCACACTTCGATCACCTCAACAATACAACAAACATCCTGTCGGACGAAAAGACCGCCACCGCCATCCTGGCCGCCAACCGCGCCGCGGCCGCCATCTACCACGTCCGCGCTCTGCCCGGCTTCGTTAATAAGCCCATCCCGCCGGGCATCAGCTACGACAAGGAGGCCATGGAGTACGTCCTGGCCTACAACAGGTGGCAACTGGGTCTGGACCCACTGCCACCTGTTGTGGCCAAGTAGTGGCGTTTTGGTTGGTTTTTTTTTGGCTTGTTACATTAATAAAACGGGGTGTGTTTTTTCTTTTGCTCTGTGGCCTTTTAGTGTTTGATGAGAGGTGTGAAATATGTGTATAATAGCTCCGAGACGTGAATCAGTCCCTAAATGCGAGAAGTATGTACTGGTGGACAGCAGATCGACCCCTTCAGCTGCATCCACGGTGCCTCCGAGGGAGTCTGGGAGGCTTTCCAGTAAACGATACAAAGCGATGCGCTGATTCGGTAGATTAACAGTTTACCGTAGAGTATTGGAGCCGTATTGGCCACAGGCCGAGACAGCTCGTCGTCGTCTGCCTGGAAAGTCGGAGAAAGTAGGTGGGCTTCATGAAACTTGACTCGTTGGCTGATCACAACGACCCTTCGTCTCCCCCCCCAGTCCTTTACTTTCATCCTCACTCATCAGTTTCCCCGTCCTTAGTATATCTAGGTCTGAAAATGGTGCGTGCATCCCCAGGCTCGTTGCGATGAACAGTACCAGCATCGTCGATATATTGGCTATGGTGCACTGAGTCGAGATCGGCGCGATTCTTCGGTCCGTCAACTCTCGTTGTAGCATTGAGGTTCCTAGAGTTGTGGGCTTACGGCGCCCTTTGGCTTGCGTAAGGATATGGGTGAAGGTATTCTCACTGTGCCTGGTGATCACTTTAGCTTATGCAGAGACTTACTAGTGCAGTGGCAGGCCTCGACTCGTCCTATTCTTTCCTACTGTCTTCCGCAGCGTCCTCTGCTGCGCCTTCCACCAAGGGCGGTTCCTAAAAAAGGTGCTCGACAGTTGGAACCGGACTATGAGCAGTCATCAATGGGGCATTGAAGTAGTCAATCAACCTACATGATCAGGGTCATTGAGGGGATGACTCTGGTCACTCAACAGGATTGACCGAGTCAATCTGCGAACTGTTAATGAGTGATACTACCTGATCGGTGCACATCACTAGGTACGAGGTGGCCAGATTGACCCCTGGAGGATGGCTACGAAATCAAGAAAGGGCTAGGAGTACGTTTATAAGCATAGAGAAAATTTGACGAAGTCCAAGTGACGGTCAATGGTTATCCTCCGGGATTGACATACTAAAAGCCCTACTATAGGATCGTTTGCATACCCGGAGTGGCAAGCTGAAGCACCTGAGCTGTTCCGTCGATAGTCGTTTCTTGCTCCCAACAGTTCTCCCGGGTAGGCAAATGACCCACCAACCAATACCAAAATTCCAAGAACCAACCTCGACGGCTGGTGGGCTGATCTGCACATAGTCTACACAGACATTCACTTGTCGGAAACTCCTACTCAGTCCCGGAGGTCGACTACATAGACATTCACTTGTCGGAAACTCCTACTCAGTCCCGGAGGTCGATTTCACTCTCTACATGCGTATTTCTTTTCACTTTAAAGACTCTGTCTCTTGTTTTGAAATAGAGTAAGAAATACTTCACAGCCATCTCGCTACAGAAATGCACTTGCGGCTGTTATGATGGCTGTTCTCGCTGCAACGTTCCCACAGTCACGTGCGTGGCGAGTAGCCCTAGAATGATACAAGACTTTACCCTCAGCTTAGAATGTGTGCCCTACCCTCAGCCTAAAGTTTGATGGTGTTTTGGCACAAGCTCCACCGCACACACCCGACTTACAAAACGCTCCGAGAAAGCTACCTCTTTTCCTCCTCTTCTTCCCACAACACTTCACTTTCACATCCATATCCACATTTCTATCCACATTTCTATCCACATTTCCATCTACATTTCCATCCAGACTTCCATTTCAACCCTCGGCGGCATACTATCCCTACATCCGGCTCGAACAAGTACGTCACTTCACCTTCGACAAATTTGGGAGGCAGCCAGCTCCCAGCGACAGCAAGATCTTCGTCTTTCACAATGTCGGGGGGCTGGCTGGTACGATGAGGCACCTCGAGATGCCTGACCAACGACCTCCACAGCACCGAAGATCCTCACCACTGGAGCACCAATCCGTCGACACACGGATCCACGATGCCTTGCGGAAGCCACCTCGCCCCCCGCCAGTGGGGGCCGGCAACCCAACCACCGCCTTCTACTACATATTGACCGACTATTTGCGGCGCCTACCGCAGGAGGAGCGCTGCCTCTTCATACTGCACTCGCTGGACCTCCTCGACTCGCAGATAGACGTTTTCTACGACGATATAGCGCGCGCCAACTGGATCCGACGAGCGAGACATTCAAGATTTTTTCGATCAGCAGGATCTCGCGATGTGGCTTTGCAAGCAACCGTTCACAGACGGAGATATGGGGGTGCGGAGGATGGGGACCGAACGGAGGAATGGAAGTGGAAGGCAGGAGTGGGGGTCTGATTATTTGCACGATATAATCGTGTGACACTCCGTTGTCGTATCGCCTTCGGTGGCCATGTTTCTCGAGATGTCATCCATTTGTGGATCATATCTTTGGTAACTCTCTGCTATTTCATTATTACTACAAATTTCTATTACATATAAATCATGAAGTATGACGTGAATCAATTCTTTCGATGAGTCCAGCATTGTTTGTTTGTTTGTGAATCCGCCTTGTGGGCAGACTGTGGTAAGCATATAGAGATATCCGAAATGATGCGGACTCTATGTAGGCGGAGGGGTTTGCGGCATGACCACGGCACCGGCAAAGACATGATTCCCGCATCGCCGCACCGCCGCACTGGATTGCAAACAGACGGCGCAAAGTAGAATACATGGCGATGCGGCGATAGTTATGTAAGGATAGCGGCGGCGGCGGCGACCACAAGGGCCTGTACCGTAGAGTATACGGCGTCGCCACCACCAGTGCCCCCCACGGCAGAAAAAACGAGTGATCCGTTACATGACCCGTCGCTGCGCAGCGGGTCTTGTCTCCTCCCCTCCCGCTCCCCTCCTCTCCCCCCGTGTATTTGGAAGCTGAGTCAAGTCTTTGATGCAGGCTGCGGGGTTTGTATTTGCTCTATAATAGTTACTTCACATGTTCTAAGCCCTGCGCGGCGTGTCTCACTCCAGCCCCACTCCATAGTGGCGTTCCGGGTTCCGCCGTTCGACGTCCGTACCCCGTACCCCTACCCCGCCATCTCCCGAGTCCCACCGCACTTTGCTGACAGTTGGTGCTCTCTCGCCAGCGAAGACCCGCGCGCACGTGACAGCGACTTGGGCCAGCCAGCGATTGTACCGTAATCCCGCGTATCCCGTAATCGTCGCCCCTGCATCTTATCGATCAGATCTACGATCCGCCATCTCACCCACCCAACAAAAAGTTGCTTGCCACTTAGCACTTGCAATGGTCCCACCTACCTGTCTAAAGAACCAACAATGTCGTCGCTCGCCGCCTCTCTCCGTGTCGCGACTGCGAGTCGTACCTTGCGTCCAGCAGCACGCTGTCTAGCCACCGCGAGCACCACGCCGAACCCCACCGCCACGGGCACAACCCCCGCCGCGGCGCCCGAGGGCATCACTAAACGCCGCGCCACGACCTTCACCGACCGGCTGAATACAGGCCCATCCTTCGACGACTTCGTATCCGGCGAGCCCGTCGCGCAGGACCCACGGATCCGCACCGTGATCAACAGCAAGGGCAAGGAGCTCGTCCGGCTGCCATCATGGCTCAAGACCTCCATCCCCGTAGGCGGGAACTTCAAAAAGATCAAGGACGACCTGCGGGGGCTGGGGCTGCACACAGTGTGCGAGGAGGCGCGTTGCCCGAACATTGGCGAGTGCTGGGGCGGCGGCGATAAGGCGGCCGCGACCGCTACCATCATGCTCATGGGCGATACGTGCACCCGCGGCTGCCGCTTCTGCAGCGTCAAGACGAGTCGTCGCCCGCCGCCGCTGGATGTCCACGAGCCGGAGAATACCGCCGAGGCGCTGAGTCGCTGGGGGCTCGGGTATGTGGTGCTGACCAGTGTGGATCGCGATGATCTGGCGGATGGTGGCGCGAGGCATTTTGCCGAGACGATTAGGAAGATCAAGCAGAAGGCGCCGAGTATCAAGGTCGAGGCGCTGACCGGTGACTTCATGGGCGATCTGGAGTGTGTAAGGGAGGTGGCGCTGAGCGGGCTCGACGTGTACGCGCACAATGTCGAGACGGTCGAGGAGCTCACGCCGTTTGTGCGGGATCGCCGCGCGACGTTCAGGCAGAGTCTCGCGGTGCTGAAGAAGGCAAAGGAGAGCAAGGAGGGGCTGATCACGAAGACGAGTATCATGCTGGGGCTCGGGGAGACGGATGAGCAGTTGATGGCGGCGCTGAAAGGTGGGTGCCCATCGTTCCAGACTACCTCTACGAGGTGCACGAGCTGACTGCTGACCGCTGACAGAACTGAGAGCTGTCGACGTCGACGTCGTCACCTTTGGCCAGTACATGCGGCCTACAAAACGCCACATGAAAGTTGAGGAGTACATCACACCCGAGGCGTTTGAGCGATGGCGGCTCAAAGCTCTCGAGATGGGCTTCATGTACGTGGCCAGTGGGCCGCTCGTGCGGAGTAGCTACAAGGCTGGTGAGGCATTCATCGAGAATGTGCTCAAGAAGCGGGCGAGCCAGCGGGATACCGCAATTGCCGAGGAGCAAGGCGTGCTGAGCGAGAAGCGGGTGGATTGATCGGTGGTGGTTACGGACTTCTTTTTGGAGGCGGTGGGGCGGGCTTGTGTCTAATCGTTGCCATGGTTTTCTTGTGTTGTCTTGTGCTTCCGTTTTATCCGGGATTGTTTGGGCACTTCATGCATAGAGGATGGAGGAATCCTTATACCTACAAGCTGGCGAAGAGTTTGCTTGAGTATGTAGGGTAGAGTGGTCGTAATTTACGCAGCTATCAACATGGAAAATACTACCACTGTTCCGTCGCAGACACAGCGCCAAATGCATGCGCAGAGCCATCAAATTTCTCCCGAAATCCTGTTCTTACAACGTCGCCATTCCGCCGCCGCAACACCTATACTACACCACTCTCTCTTCCGTACGCTCAATTCCTCTCCCTCTTCTCCGCGGCGGCCGCGGCCATCAGAATCGGCGCCGCCCTGGCGCTCGCCCAAGCCTGCATACTCGTTGAGGGCGCCTCGGTCCTGATGGCAGAGCCGATGGACATGAAGAACCTGCCGGACGCACATCCGTCAGTCAGCCGTGCCCTTTTTCCACCTTCCATACCCAACATCCACTCAGCCCACTGGAACACACCCGAAAGTAGCCGCAGAGCCCATCATGTACTGTCCCAGACTGCGGATCACGCCGTTGGGACCGGGGCCCTGCTTCATTATCGTGTACCCTCCGAAGATGAAGCCCATGCATAGCCCGACCGTGCCGCCCATCATGGCGCCCATTTTCACTGTGCGCGTTAGTGGGGGTGCACCATTGTCGGGGGTGGTGGGGCGGGGGTGCGGGTTACTCTTGTCGAAAGTGCTGGGCGCGTGGCCGTGGCGGCCGGCGGAGGGGACGGAGGATACTGGGGGCATCGTGGTGTGGAGTGTGGTTGTGGGATTGTCTGCTGTCTGGTATCGTCGGTGCTGCTGCTGCGGCTGCGTCAGCGGTGAGGGTGAGGGTTGGAGTGCTGGTGCTGGTGGTGCTGCTGCGGTGCTGGTGGGGTGGTGGGGTGCGAGTGGCAAGGCGTCGGTGGGGTGCGGAATTCGCGCTGAGATGGAGGCTCGGCGTCGGAAGATCCCGTGATCCCCCGCTTGGCCGGATCCGGACTGACACCGATCGCTGGCAGGGCCGAGCCACAGTGTGGCGCTTAGGTTTGGATTTGTCATGACTCATGAGTGCTAGGCGGGCGTTCCAGGCTTGGCAAACGAGCCGGCCATTGGCCAGTAGGCACTCTAATTAGCTTCACGATTGAAACTGCAGGATTTCCACCGCGACGTGCAATCCGTAGACGACGCACGGCGAGACTTCAATCCGTGAGGAGCGATGCAATAGACTTTGTTGAGTTCAATCACGATCGTGTACTTGCCTTGAAGATTTGGGTACTATTGGGATGTGAATTTTAAGCCATACCGAACGAGTGATGCAAAACAATTATCTTTCAAGCTTCAGAGCACTCGACCACAGACTCTAGAGTAACTTGTAAGCGAAAGCTTCGAAGCGCGGCGTCCGTACTAGAGTGTATAAATAGCCATTGTCACCTGCGATCCATGCAAAATTACGGCGAGCTTGTAACTGCGGTGTAAGCATTTGACGGGCAAATCCTGGGCGCGACGCAGTGCACAACCCAGCTCCGCGAGGTTTCCAATGTCGGGCTTAACGAGCTTTCACTGCTTCACCCCAGGTGGACCGTCCTTGGGAACGGGTATGTAGGTCGAGCAGCACTGAAGTTTGAACGGAAAGACGCCCTGTGATCACAAGGTTGAGGGAGAGGATGCGAGAGTCGAGACGAGACGAGCGTGGCGGAGCGGAGGAAGGGTTGGTGCCTTCGGAGCGGCAGAAGAGGATGCTGCACAAGATAAGAATTTAGCGTGGCGAAGTTTAACACCCACCGGCGAGTTGCAACAAAAGTAGAGCTGAAATATGTACTGTACTCTCCTTTCGACCGCATGGCTTTTGACTCTCGAGTACTCTATGGAGTAGCAGTCAATAACTGTCTACCAATGGAAAATCTTCTGTGGATTTCCTTCACTGGAGCTGCTCTCAATCGCCAGAGCAGATATCGGTATCACTGTCGAGGCCAAAATACGGGATCGATTCTGCATCGAGCCCACCGGAGCTGATCTACCTAGTCGCGCATTAGTTAGTCTCCACTAATTCTTCACCCACCCAGGGCGGCCGCAAAGTTCCTAGTCCCATGCGGACAGATTGGGGTGCACCCCTCCACACGAAAGGCGGCGGTGGTGGTGGGCGGTGGGAAACAAGGCCTCCAATGATCAATCCTGTCCATGGGCAGAATGAATAGTGAACGCAACAGTCAAGCGAGCAAAAGTACTATATAGTATCATATGTAGATACATACTGCCTACATAGAGCTGACCGGACGAGCTTCGTTGTGCAGAATTGATAAGTCTGACCCCCGCTTTCGGCCCCAGAAAAGGGAAGGAGAGGGGAGGGGAGGGGCGGCAGCTCTCGAGCTGTACTGCCCACACACCACCGCCCTCTGTTCCATCTGTAGAGTAAAGTAGAATAGAGACTGTAGATAAAGTGCCGTATAGCATCCCCGGCCACTGCTTACGGGACTGTCCATACACAATCCACCACGAGCTCAGCCGCACCTTGTACAGCCAGCCAGCTGCAGGAAGCTTTTCCAACCAGCTCACTTGCATCTCCGCCTCACCGTTCCCTTAAATCCCCCCTTCTTCCCCGCTCGCTCGCCTCCTCACCGACCAACCGACCAACCAACCCACCACCAACTCCAAGATGTCAAATGTACCTATTCCCCAGCCATTCCCCAATACCCGCACAAGCCACTGACCCAGCCACACCTAGCCCTACGGCTCCTCGATCCCACTGCTGCCCAGCCAGCGCGCACACGTCGGACCACTGGAGCTGCCAAACTTTCTCTCGGAGATCTCCGCCTTCAACACGCAGCTATCAACGTTCGCCTCATCCGTCGAGCAAGTCGGGCAACTCCACAATGCCGCGCTACAATCGACCGCGGACTCCGACTCGACCGGCTACAGCGGCAACGCCTCGTCGCGGCTCGAGGCCGCCGTCGCCGAGTGCTCGGCGCAGGCCCGCGCCCTCAAGGACTTCCTCAAGAGCCTGGAGCGCGACATGCTCCTCACAGAGCGCGACGGCGACTACGACCAGGGCCGCACGAAGCACGGCCAGGTCGACAAGGCGCGCGCTAACCTGCAGGCCGGATTGCGCGAGTTCGAGAAGGTGCGTTCATGCCACACACACCCACACACTCGCTACCACCGGCTGCTGCCTGATGCTGCTGCCTGAATGAATGCTGACCGACCGACTGTATATATAGACCGAGCGGATGTACCGCACGCGGTACAACGAGCTGCTAGCGCGGCAGTACCGCATCGTGCACCCTGACGCGAGCGAGGAGGAGATCGGGCAGGCGGTGGAGTCAGGGCAGACGCAGGTGTTCTCGCAGGCGCTTTTGAGCAGCAACCGGAGCGCGTCGGCCAATTCCGTGGCAAAAGCCGTGCGCGAGCGGCAGCAGGATATCGCACGGATCGAGCGCACGCTCGAGGAGCTCATGGTGCTGTTCGAGCAGATGAACGAGCAGGTGCTGCTCGCCGACCCCGTCGTCGCCAATATAGAACACCAGTCCGAGAATGTCACCACCGACGTGGAGCAGGCGCAGAAACACCTCGGCACCGCGGTGGTCAGCGCGAAGGGCGCCAGACGGAAGAAGTGGATCTGCCTCTTCATCGCTATTGGCATCGTCGCGCTCATCGGTATCATCCTCGCTATCGTGTTTGTGACCAGGGGGAACAGTGGTGGAGGTGGGAGCACGCCCGCGCCGGCGACGGCGACGACGACGGTGGCAGCGGCTGCGACGACGACGGCTGCGGCAGCGGCGAAAGTTAGGCGAGGCGTGGTCGATGGCGTCGGCGGGACTGTGTGGTCATAGTGGCTGGGTTTTTGGGTTTGGTCGGTGGTGTTGTGTTGATGGTTAATGTTGTGCCTATCAGGTATGCACGTGGAATTTCGGTTTTTGGCTGGGCTGGGCTGGGCTGGCATGCATACTCTCGTTTCTGTCTTGTCGAGCCTATCCAGAGAGATAGAATTTCTCAGTTTTGGCGGGAGGGCGGGCATGCCCCACTACCTACCCAAGGAGTTGGCTGTATGTACCGTATGTAGATACCAAAAAAGATAATTTATGCTACCAGTACCTGTGTCTGCTGGTTGATCCTATCAATGCCCGCAATCTGCTGTCCAGAATCACGGAAAGCCAAAGTTGCGAGGACACGGACATGTGTGTATGTGTGTAGACGACAGAAGACAGACAGACACTAAAGCCACATCACGGACGGAGGGACGGACGGACGCCAGCGGAGAAAAAAAGAACATTGAAAAGAAGTTTGAAGACCATACATTTCGGACAATCCGGCAGAAGTACACAACACAACACAAACACAAGCACATACACGTAAACCAAAGTAAGTACATACCTAGCAAAAGTTGAGGGAGACGGACGAGACGGGCAGGCGAGGCGGGGCGGCGGGCGGGACGAGACGAGAAGGGACGGGGAGAACAAATGGCAAAAGCGCAACTGAAGCAGCAGCAGCAGCAGCAGCGAGAAAGGTAGAGAAGAAGCACAAAGTCAAGTGACGATGCTTGCAAGAAAGTAGTACTTGGGCACCCAAAAAAGTAGATTCAGAAAAGAAAAAGCAAACAGACAGACAAAGATAGCGGCAACGGTAACGGTAACGGTCAAAAAAAACTGGGGATCAAGGTATCACTATCAAACCGACGGTCGGTTTGTTCTTTTCCTTCGTTTCCTTCTCCGTTCTTCTCCCCCTCACCACTCCCTCCCTTCTCCGATCATAGGTAGCATATATGGGTTAACAAAGGTATGAAATGATCGTGGCACATATTTCTGACTGACTGCTTCGGGCGCGTGACGATGACACTGGAACCCGAGAAAAACGGTGGACACATTGGGAAGATAGATAGCCCCATTGGGGCTACTATGCTTGGATACCTGCGTCTTGAACAAACTTCCATAGCATCTTGATGAGGTGTTCTGGAAGGGTGTACAGATCGACATGGAATTCTCCCTCTACATCTGATGTCAATGGACGTGGAGCATATAACCGGGAGGAACAACGGGTCCGTACGCTCAACATCGTTCTTAACGTAAGTCTCGGTGGTCTTGTGTTCATGTACCATCTGCACAACCTTCAGCAGATCGTCTTCCTGAAGCTGCTGGAGGGCATCGGCGAGCTTCTCCATGTCGAACTAGGTAACCGCGCAAAACTCTCATCAGCCACAACCAACCACCACGCGTAATACAACCAGCCAGCCAGCGCGCACGAAAATAAGACCATACCACTTTCTCGGCACGGCTCTTCTTCTTTGCACGTTCCTCGCCTTCATTCTTGCGCTTGTCTCTCTTGGGAACGCCGTTGGGACGCTGCGGCTCCTCCTCCGGATGGGCTTCGACGCCCGGAACGGGACCGGAATTGGCCAGCTGCTTGAGCAGGTTCGGGCGGGGATTGACGAATATCTAACATCCATTTAGCAGGCACGCACACCTCACACCGCACCTCCCTCCCCCATTCACTCCTCCCCCCACGGAACAGGGTGTCCACGCACGATGTCATGGATACTCTCATATTTTGGTTTATGAAAGTTGAGGTCGTGGCGGATGACGTGTTCGCCGCCCTTATCGATGGCATGGAGGATGAGGTCCATATCGAACTCGCCCCAGCCCTTCTCGCTCAGCAGGAACGGCGGCTTCTTGAGCACCCGCGTCGGATTCGTAAACGTCGGGTGCAGTTTGTACGTCACCTTGTCGAATATCGTCGCGGGGAGGTCCTCGCCATTCGCCCCCAGCAGGAACATCCGGATCGACCACTCGCGCATCGGGAATCCTTCCTGCGCCGGCACATCTGTCCTGCTGCGGTGTCAGCCCAGCGTCCGCGAAACGCGTCGGGAATCATTCGCGCCATGCCCTCCCCCACACGCTTTCGGACAGGCCGCGAGACGGGGTGGAACATACAGAATCGCCTGCTGCGTGACGAGCTTGACTTTTCTGATAACCTGCCGCGACCGCCGAGTGGGGAAGTATTAGCCGACTTTGTTCTCCTGTCGCTCTGGCATGCATCCATCCCTTGCTCCCTCGCGCAGCATGGCATAGCATACTTCCGTCATCTTTCCAGCTTTCGTGTTGCTTGTGTTGCTCGTGTAGTGTCGTGGGCGGCGTGGTGGGATTCCGCGGTGGTCGTATGTGTTGTGTGTGTGTGGGTGGGTGGGTGTGGAAGGGTCGTGCGAGGTGGTGGGTGGTGGTGGAGCGCGACGTGGATATCCTTCGCACTACGATTGGGGGCTGCAATACGCGTGGGTGGTGGTGGTGGTGCTGGTGGTGGTGGAGGTGCTGGGTTCGGCTGCGTTGGTGGTGTTGGGTTGGGTGGGGATGGACAACCGTGATGGTGGTGAATGGGGCGTGTCCTAAGCTCGCGTCACGTGCGGCTTTTACCCGCTCACCGCCAGTTCCCAGTCAATTCCACCCACTTTCTCTAAATGGCAAGGCACCTTCAATGCAACTTCAATTCAACTTCAATTCAATTCTATCCTAGAAAGACATTCAAAACATATTAATGACCAGAGACAGGTCTTCTATTCCAAGTCACTAGAGTCTAGAATCGGTAGGTAGAAAGATGCTAATCACAATGTTCCAAGTTCCGCCGTGAGTATAGGAAGTAGGTACTCGAGCACAACTCTCTCCACAGCGCTATACGCACGCTCTCACCGCATGCCATGCGTGCAAAGCAGGGCAGGAATCTCACTTTCAAGACCTGAAGAGTTAAGACGAGAGGGCAGAAGAGGAGAATGACGAGGAGGAGAAAGAAGACGAAAAACAGATTGCAAAGAGAAGTCAGCTATAACAGAAAAAAAAGTAGAGCAGAGCAGAGCATTGCATAGACAAAAAAGACAAAAAAGACAAAAAGACAAAGACGCCCACCCATCCGTCCACCCACCCACCGAATTCCCACCCAACCAGACCCAACCCAATCCCATCCAGCCCTAACAAGTAAACCAAACAGATCCCCCTCCCCTTCCCTCACCCTCCATTCCCTTCCATTCCCTTCCCTTCCCTTCTTCCCGTGACGATCGAATCGAACCTGATAAGCGAAAGCATGAGGGGATGGCTCGGGTATGGATGGTATGACCGTATGAACAAAGTAGTACGGATATAAAATTCAAGACCCAGCCCAAGTTTCTCCGCTCAAAGATGGTTCCGGCAAACCTAGGGATGAGTGAGGTGAGAGAAGGAGAAAAGATGGAGAAAAGATGAAAAGAAAGAAAAAACAAAAGAAAAAACAAAAGAAAACCGGAAAAAAGAAAACCGGAAAAGGGGGGCAAAAAAAAAGAAAGGAACCAGGCCAGGCTCACTCCCGGCAGGGCGGATGATGATGATGGTGATGATGAGACTGTGCAGGAACAGCAGCAGCAGCAGCCACCACCACCCGCATCACCAAACGTGCGCACAACACGTACACGGACTTGTCAGCCGAGAGAGAGAACACACATTGAGTATGTAGGGATCCCCAATGGGTAAGTAGCAAGCAAACAATAAAAGAAAGAAAATACGAGATGTATATGCCACACACACGTGGATGGATGGATGGATGGATAGAAGAGAGAGGAAAAAAACCTTTCAAGCCCGCCTACAATTCATTGGCATTCCTGCGGCGTGTCCAGATAGCCTTCGCTTGGCCCTGTGCTTTCCGCACGTACACTTCGCTGTGTTCGGACGAGGCGGCCTCGAGCCTGGTGGCCAAAGCCCTCGCGCCCTGGTAGAGCTTCACCAGTCCGGTGGAGACGTCGTCGGAGTACTCCCTGGCCTTAGCCAGCACGACAGAGCCCATTTCGGCGGCCTGGTGGCCGGCCGTCTGCGAGAAGTCGGTAGCGATCTCCTTTGCCTCGATGGCGGCCTGGTCAAGGAGCAGCTGCAGCTCAGCCCGTCGCTCCTCCACGGCCTTCACCCACCGCGACATCTTCATCCATGGCGTGCCGAAGTCAACCTCGAGATCCTCCTTGACGATCGGCTTGGACTTGGTCCACAGCGACACCTTGAGCACGCCCCACGCATCGTCTTCGTCAATGTTGAGCGTGTATGAGCCGTCGGTGAGCTGCGAGAGCGAGGCGTCGATGTTGTCCGAATTGCGGGTCACTCGCACGAAGAGTGGCGGTGGTCGGCGCAGCAAGAGATACTTCTGCGGCGGTCGGACGACGATGTGGTTGTGGCCCATCATGTCGATTTGGAACCGGTCGGAGGAGTTGAAAGCCATCAGGGACTGGCTCCTGAAGTCAACGGTCGGAGCAACGGACACGCTTATCACGGTGGCTGCCGAAGACACGGTAACAGGTGCACGAGCCAACGAGACAGCTGAAGTCGTAGAAGTGTGCTGAAGTGCGATGGTCGAAGTGGTAACGGAAATCATGGTCGGTGTTGCCGGCAGCACGGAAACCTCGTCCGTAGTGTAGTCGGCCACCTTCATGTACGCGACCCCAAAAATCCCTCCGGCAATACCGCAGAAGACCATCCAGCCCACGAGCATCATCTTCCACAGCTCATGAGTGCCCATCTTTCGAATCCACTGCAAGCTCCCGTGACCTCGGCCGCCGAACCTCTCCGAGTCCTGCGGTGCCTTCTCCACATCCCGCAACAACACACTCGTGGTCGCTGATTCAGCTCCCCTTGATGACCGTCTCCGCAGCATCTGAGAACCTACGTCCTGCTGGTTGTGGTTGGTGAAAGACAGTCCGGTGATGCATCCCAGGCTTCGGTTCAGCTGGCGAAGGTTAAGGTTGAGGAACGTTGAGAGGTCGATCGGCAGCGTCTTGTGGATGATCGATCGCTTGACATCGTCATCGCCGCCTTCTCCCGGCGCATCCGATTGAATGCACAGATGGATGCTTCGAGGATCCAGCGAGAAATTCTCCGTCGCATTGTGGAACGGCGGGTTCTGGGTGATCAACAGCGTGGCTACTGCGTGTCTGGCCATGAACATCCGCGCGTGAAGTCTCGTCATCCGACGCTGGGTATTGTCGTCGTCCGAGCAGTAGATGACAGCCAGGTGAGGCAGCTTCCATCCTGCACTCTCCAGCTGAGCGCCATTCCCACCATAGACCGACGTGATGTTCTGGTTTCCGTTCAGCCACAACGACAGAGTGTCAGGCTGGCCCTGATTCTTCGTGGCCTTGGCGATAGAGCACACATCGAAGGTCATATCCAAGCCGGTGCTGTTGACAAGCTCCACCTCCGGCGTATTGCTCCTCGAGCCGAAAGACGTAATGGGCACGATGTTGAACCGCGGGGACTTGACTCCGTCCCACGATCCCGACGAGCTTGCGGACTCCGAGATGGCAGCAGCCAGGGCAGCCGCCAGCTTGTGTTGAATTTCTTCCTTGGCCGCCAGCGAGCCGATATATAGAACACGGAAAGGCTCGTCTGCCTCGAGGAGCTCCCTGCTCATGCATTGGCGGATGGTGGAGTAGAGCGGCGGTGCCGGGGTGTTGTCCTTCCCCAATCGTTTCCATATCTCCACCGTCTCTAGCTCACTGAAGCTCGTGAGCCTCTGCGAGACCGCAATGTAGTCACCCTCGAAATCCACGGGCTCGTCGAAAACGATCTCCTCATCCGGCGTACAGCTGCCGCTCCTGTTCCTTGCCGTGATGGCACTGCCGTTGAGGTGTTGGTCGTCGAGTCCGCCGAACGTAGGAATCGGATCCGGGTCGTGGCCTTCTTCTTCCTCTTCTGGACGGTCAAAAAGCGAAGCTATACTGTCCACCATCGAGCCGGAGTCGCCACTTCCAAGCAAGTCGTCGTCATCGATGGAAGCTACAGAGGAAGCTTCGTCTTCTTCGTCCGTGAGTATTGTTGAGTCCGTGAGGATCTCGTAGCCGCTGTCGCCCATGCCACTCTCCTCGGAGTGACCAGGCATCTCGAATCAACTTCTTTTTCTTGGAGGTACAGCAATAGAGAGAGGTTGTTGTGCCGTATCGAGGATGGGGGGCGAGGGGTGACGTGTTGGTGCTAAGGTAGTGGTGGGGTAGTGGCGCAGAGAGGCGGTGAGTTTAAAGGTTGAATCTCTGCATACGGCTCGAGTTGTGAGCACAAAAGACAAGAAAAAACTCTGGAAGAAGGTAAAGAAGAGGACAAAACAGAACACGACAAGGCAGTGGAGAGGGTAGAGGAACGGAACTGAAGCGAGAAAGCCAGAAGGCGATTTGCTAGGCTGGTGGAATATCTCGAGAATCAGAGAAAAGAGCCAGGGAGAGCCAGGGAAGGCCAGGGAGGGCTAGGCCAAGGGGGAGAAGGGAGGAAAAGTCAGGGAGAGGAGAACTTTTGTCTTTGAATTCAAATACAGATTATGACTCCGATATGCTTTCTTTCTTTCTTCGTGAGCTATATATCGAAGCTCCGAAGCTCGCTTAGGTAGCTCTGTCTTGCAGCTTTTGCCCGTTTTCCTCGAGTTCGACTATCGGCTTCGCGATGCAGAAGAGGAAGAGGAAGAAGGGCTGGAGTTGAAGCTGTGAGCTAAGCAAAAAGTACTCGAGGCAGAAGAAGATAGATAGGTCTTCTCTAACCTACGTTTTTGGGTTTTAATTCGAGAGGTTTTTAGTTTTTTAGTTTTGTTTGTTTGTTTGAGGGGGGGAGGCAAGTAGGGTTTCTGTTGGCTTTATCCGTAGGGAAAGGATGGCTGCCTTGGATTCAGGTCGTAGATGATTTGTTTGGAGGAGCCGATGGGGAGGTCCGAAGACGCCGACACGTACAAGTAGTAGTGGAGCTAGGGCGAGGCGGGGTGAGGCGGGGCGGGGCGGAGTGGGGGGGAACGGGAGGAAGACGCGGGGTGGGGGGAGGCGCGGGAGAAGACGGGAATCGGTCAGAAGGACGACCGTTCGCAGGAGGATGAGGAGGCTGAAGAGTGGAATAGGAGAAGTCACGAAGGAGACACAGGCGTGTCTTGTAGCGTAGAGTAAAGTGGTTCACGCGGAGGGCGAGCGACGAACGAAGAACGGACGATTATGCGAACCAACGGGCGGACGAGGAACGGAACGGACGATGTGGACGAGGCACGGCTGAAAGAGACAAGCACCGGCTTTGTTAATAATCGATGACTTGAATGTGGGAACCTCAACACCGTAGAGTGAGGAGACCTGTTTCGTTTCTGCTATATAATCCGGGAGGAGGGGTAATGGGTTGCGATTTCGCAGGAGAGGGGCGGAGGGGAACGGGAAGCGAAGTCGACAGAGGGGAGCGGTGAGACGAGCCGTAGAAGCACAGCTAGGGGGGGCGGAGGAGATGGCTATTGAGGTATTCGCTGGAGTGCTGGAGTGCTGTGGACGGTGAATGGTGAAGAGGAATGGAGGGAGGAAGGCCGGGCCAGCTTCGAAGTGAGGTGTGAGTTGTGGAAGTGAGGTGTGTGTGAAGGTGGGGAAGTTGTGCTCAGTTGGGTGCGTCAGGCTCGGAAGCTCTTGCGGCTGGTGGCCGATCTAGTTCCAACAAGGAGGGGTTCTCCTTGACTTGAGCCTGAGTCGCTAGGCTCAACCTTCAGCTGAGCTGAGCTTAGTCATGTACGCAGCCGTAGAGTACACCACATACCCGCCGGTGGCGGATTATCCTAGAACCCTAACCCGCGCGTCCAGCCCACGTGGAGTACGTGCATATGTGATCCATCTGTGAGTAGCTGAGCGGGAGAGATTGCTGTTGCGTATGTGGACACATCGAAAAGCTGAAGATGTTTTAGATGCTCAAGGCTGGGGGTAAAGTGGAGTTTGCACTGCGTGGATGGAGCTGAAGCCCGAAAGAAAGAAGTTCGCTGAGAAACGGGCCACTGAGAGGAATATATGGGCGAATGGGAACGGGAAACAGGACGAGGACGAATCCAAGCTCCAGAAACATGGGATCACGACGAAGACGAGAATCGTATGAGAGCCGAGAAGGGAGACCGTTAACAAGCGGAAATTATGGAAGAGGAGATACTCTACCTGCATACTCATGTACAAGGCATGCATACCTTCAAAGCACAAACGGAAGATTTTACCAGTTCCTGAAACTCTCCGCATAAAACCAGCAAGATTATTGCAGTGCAGTCTTTTCTGTGAAGTGTATAGTGTCTGTAGTAGTGTACATACAGTAGCCATCCACCATGACCCAGGTTCCATGGCCTGAAGGCTGATGGTACAGCAGCGAGGAGCGCCACACACGAGCAAGAAACATGTGGTGAAGCTGCCAGCCGAGAAGTTGCATGCAACTCTGCAAGAACTTAGGCAGAGATACCGGTAGCCATTCGGAGTGACGATAATGGGTGAATGACGGGGGACGTCCCAGTGGCACATCCATCCACCACCAGCTGGGCTTCACAGAGCTTTACTGCCGCAGCTTTTCCGTTCCTGTGATTTAGCCGGACAACATGGCGATAGGTAGAGTACATACTGTCACATTATTACCTAGTAGGTACTCCCCGCCGAAGATCGAGGATTTGGGCCAGTCGACCGCGCAACGCGTGAGATACTGTGAAGCAGCACCGCGCAAAGAACCCTTCCACATCATAGCCCGACAACAAGAAGGTGGTTGTGCTCGCTTTCCCGCGTGAAGAAGTGAAGCGGGACTGTTTGTGGTGGGCAAAGGGAAAGGCGATGTGCGTCGGTGACAATGGCACTGGCCGCTACTCCTGTACCGGTACCACTCTACATTGCGATTGTGGTGCCGTATGTACAATAGGTACATCATCCCGTTCCCTAAACACCCCCAATCACGAACCGAACCAACTCCCCTCCGTGCTGCACCTCCGTCAACACGCAGTGTAATTCCTGTACTCTGGTTCATAACAGATTCCGACTGGGATCGATCAGATCGACACTTTGTTGCTCTCCAAGGCCTGCATCCGTTTTGCTGTCCATCTGTGAGACTGGGAGTTCCTCCCCAGGGCCCGGTCAGTGGCACTGACAGCCGGCTACACAGGTGACAGGCTCTATGCGGTTCGGACGAGTTCTCGGAGCAGCTATGTAGCACCTTCACCTTTCTTCCCCGGTACGTAGTCGACGAAGGCACAGTTGTTTAAGCGCAGCATGTGGACTCCTACGTGATAGACTTGGGCGGCAGAACAGTCTATGCCTGCAGTGATTATCTGTGGCGCAACCGCTGCCTGACCAATAGCATGGCCATCAGTGTCTCAGCCACAGATCTAATCTCAGATGATTGTGATTCGTCTGCGGCGGTGTGACCGCTTGCTGGATTGAAGATGTCGCTGAAACAATGCTTTCGGAATAGTGGGGGAGCAGATATCTTCTTCTGCACCCCCAAACTCCGGCAGCTCTTTGTTCGTGAGCTGCTACATATTTGACCGTGCTTGCGTCTCGGTGATGTCTTGGTTTTGTCGCCAAGTGCTTGGTCCAAAGCTTCTCTTCGATCCCGCCAACTTCACAAGTCCGAATTCGTTCGTTCATGCGAGAATCCGAAATCCCCACGGCCCTTCCTCTCATCCGTGCATACTCAGTAGAGTATGTACCTAAGTACACACCGACGAGCGATGATCGCCGTATGTGAGCTTTGGGAACTTGACTACTGGTAATCAACGGTATCGAGTCCCTCCGTTTTGGATAGAGTTCTGTATGTACAGACGCGCATCCGTAAGAATCCAACCAAGCACATCCACCCATACCCTGCGCTTGTGATTTCGCCAAATGGTTTTTACCAACGTATGTAGAGTATCTATCCTTGAGCCTGTTGCCCAGAGACCATATGTAGAGTACAATGCATAGCGTCTACCGGTATGCGCTGCGTGGGGGCCTGCGGCGTGCGTCCGAAGCATGAGGAGAAGGAGTCACGGCTGCAGGGGATGGATGGGATCGAGGAGAGATAACAGACGGAGAGAGAGCACGGGTCGTCCAACGGTTATGGCTGTGGTTTTTGTTTCCGGACAATAGGTAATCGAGGCTGAGGAAATCACCAGCCGTTTCTCAAACGATGGATCTCGACCACGGTTGCCACCCTCAATCGACGACGAATGCACGTGGCAAATTCGCAGGAGCAGGATTGATGGAAGTTCAGCACTAGACCACGCGCGGGAACTGGGATCAGCAGGGTCTCGAGTTTGGGGCGAGTTGAAGGGTGGTCGCTTTCCCCTTTTCACGACACAAGCATTTACACGAGGTGCTGAGCACACGGCAGCGCAGCGGGAGGGAGGGAGGGAAGGTGGGAGCAATGTAGATTCCGCACATGGAAGGATGGAATTCGGGACTCCTGTCGAGACCCAGAAGGACGTGTCAATGCTGTAGTTAGTAGAGTGCCGGTGAAATACCGTAATCATCGCCCATTGCTGCGAATTCCGTGCGAATTTCCGTGCTCTCGCAGTTGCCCCATCTCCTTCTCCCTGTCGGCCGTTCTCCGGATCCTCCCTTTCTCCTCACGATATCCTCCAACCCAGCACCGTGTCCATCCTGGCATTCAGTCTCTGCGGGCACCGGTATCTCGACCCACTCCTCCTCGATCGAGTATTCGTCGTTCTCCTCCTCACACTCCTCCTCTCGCTCGTCCTGCTCCTCCTCCTCCTCCTCCTCCTGAGGCTCTTCGGATGCAGAAACGTTAATCATCGCAAATTCGGCGCTCTTTTCTGTGTCGCTACGGCTGCACCTGCCCCCTTGCCACCCTAACGAAAAAATAAAGCCCCCTTCCAGCTACACCACACAGCACAGTCAACAGAACCTAACTCCACCTACCGTGTCCGATCTGGCCTCGACCCGAAAAGAAGACTCCACCTCCGCCCAACGATTCGAAGAAAAACTCTCCACTCCCTCTACCTTCCTTCGCTACCTCCCGACCATCATCAATAACAAGTCGCTTCGACTCTTCACCGTCGTTATCTTCAGTTGCGACCGGTAGTCGTCGCCGTCGTCATCGTTGTCGTCCGTCCGAGCCCGCATCCGCTCCTGCCCCCTACTCCTCCGGCCAGGGCGTTACCATCGTACACGACCCCTTATCTTCCGACACCCACTCGTCGCCATGGGGCTTGTACGGCAGCTCCTCCAACGGCTTCCGTCCAAGAAGACGCTCGATGAGATCGCACAATACCATCGGCTCTCGCCGCGGTTAGCTTTCCTGCGGCGCCGCATACGACTAAAAGGGAGCTCGACAATAACGATGCCCCTCGGCATGGTATTGCTGTTCCCGTTCACAATAGTCATGCTGTTGCTCGTGCTCTTCGTGCGGCACCCTAATTCTCCGGGCCGAATGCTGATGCCCTCGAGCGGACCGCCGGCCATAAGGTACGTGCAGAAGACGGAACGAAGCGAACCCCCTTCCTTCTCTCTTCCACCCCTCCCCCTCCCCCCTACAACGCGCTCTCATCTCGTCCATCGCCTGCTGCACGCCATCTGGAAGCTAGACGGATTGGATAGCCTTGCTGACCTCCGTGCGCCGTGTGGTATAGACGGATAAGCGAGAAGTACGATAAAGTCTTCGCTACGGGATGTCTCGAACCGAAAACCGACGGACCTCGGGAGAACGCGGTGATCGTAGTCCTGGCCCGGAACAAGGAGCTCCCCGGTGTGCTGCAGTCCCTTCGGCACATGGAGCGGCACTTCAACCGATGGTTCCACTACCCGTACGTGTTTCTGAACGACGGCGAGTTCAACGACGAGTTCAAGAACACCGTCCTCAACTACACGACCAGCAAGGTGGAGTTTGGCCAGATCGATCCGCTACACTGGGGTTTCCCCGATTGGGCGGATGTGGATGAGGTTGAGGAGGCAATTGCAAAGCAGGGTGACCAGGCCATCATGTACGGTGGTATGGCCAGTTATCATCACATGTGCAGGTTCTATTCGGGGTATGTTTGCTGTTCGCATCCGTCCCCTTCTCGATCGCTCGATGGGTTGCCCCGCGTCGGGCGGACGGAGGACTGCTCGCTGACCGCATGTCCCATCGTTCCCACAGACAATTTTGGAAGCACGAGCTTCTTCTGAAGTACGAGTGGTACTGGCGCTTGGAGCCAGATATCGAGTTCTTTTGCGATATGACTTAGTATGCCTTCCACCTCCCCCTCCCTTGCGTCACGCACGGACACGCGTCCGCTGACATTCTTTCCCTCAGTGATCCTTTCGTCGAGATGAGGAAGAATAACAAGACGTATGGATTCACGATCGCGGTCAAGGAATTGCGGGAAACCGTTCCCAACCTCTTCCGGTACGTGTCGGCATACAAGCGCAACAACAACATCACATCCAAGGGAATGTGGGAGATGTTTGCGGAGAAGCGGGAGAAGAAGGAGGACCAAGATACCCTGCCGGAAGATGTCCTCAAGCTCGAGCCCGGTCGTGGCAAGTTCCCCGAGGTCGACCCGACGGCTATGGAGGGAGAGGACTACAACATGTGCCACTTCTGGAGTAATTTCGAGATTGCGCGCTTCGACTTCTATCGCAGCAAGCAGTATACCGATTTCTTTGAGACGCTAGACCGCAGCGGTGGATTCTGGACCGAACGGGTATGGCCCCCTCTCCCTCCCCCGTCGTGACGGTATGGAGGGCAACGACTGACAGATCGATGTAGTGGGGAGATGCACCCGTCCACTCGCTCGCCGCCGGCGTTTTCCTTGGTCCCGCAGACCTCCACTACTTCCGCGACATCGGCTACCGGCACACCACGATCCAGCACTGCCCGGCCAATGCCCCGGCCAAGCAGCTCCCCCGGACGCCGTTCAAGGAGCCATATCTCGAGGACCAGAAGAAGGCGAAGGAGGATGACGAGTACTGGGACAATTGGGACGCAGTGCAGGAGAACGGAGTGGGGTGTCGGTGCAAGTGTGACACCGACATCACGGACATCGAGGACAAGAAGGGAAGTTGTCTGTCGGAGTGGGTCAAGGTTGCCGGAGGGTTCACATCTCCATAATCGGGGATGGATGGGGATAATACACAATACGCGATGAAAAGACATACGATCACCCCCCTCCCCCCCACTCATTCACACGCCATGGCAGAAGGGAAAAGAGCATCATCAATCCCCACACACACGTGCAAGTGTACGGACTTATTGGCAAATGGGAGTTTTGTTTTTGCGCTTTGGCTTATATGTATTTTCCGGTTATCTTTCTATGCTGCTTTTCCGTTCTCGTTCAAGTCATGTGTGTCCGTTCTTCAAAACTTTTGGTTACGTTTTTTTTTTGTTCTGTTCTCTTCCAACCAACCAACCAACGCTGGCTGGCTGCTGCAAATCCATCACTCGGTGTCAGACATTAGTCATCACACGACTTTGGCCACGCGAATGGGAGCGAAGCTTGACAATTCCTGATCTTTAATTTATCGCGCTCAGGTAGTGTTTTTGGGGTGGGAGGGGGGAGGGGGAGGGTGGGATTGGAACGAACTGGGAGGGGGGCTTATTTTCCTTCCTTTTCTTTTCGAATTCCATTTCGTTTTCTTTTTCATATTTCTCTTGTTTTCTTCTTTTTTGAAACTTGGCTTCGATCATTGTTACGGCGGCTGTAGGTGTGGGCGGGTGTTGTGTTGTATTGTGTTGTGGTTGTTGTGTATTGTGTTGTGTATTGTGTTGTGTGTTGTGTGTTGTGTGTGTTGTGTTTCTCGATGACGATTACTCTAGTGACGAGCTCTGTTCTGTACGCGGGGGAGGGGGAGGTGTATACAGTTTGATTTTTTTGTTTGGTTTTGTTTGGTTGCTGAGCTATACGTTCTTCTTTCTGCTTCTTTCTTCTTTTTCGACGACGATTGGATTGGGATGGGATGGGATGTGGATTGAGATGGGATGGAATGTGTGATGCCTGAAGAGCTTGAAGAGCCTGGAGGGGAAGGGCGGTGTGGTAAAAGGTAAAAATCTAGAGCGTGCTTCTGGAGGGGGGAGGAGTGAGTTGGGAGTGATTGGGAGTGAACTGGGCTACTTATGCTATGTATAATAGATGATGAGAGGATCTGATTGAAGTGTGCCGGGCGCTGCGATGAGGAAGTGATGAGGAGGTGATGATGATGAAGAAGTGAGACAGCCGACAGCGGGCATGTGGGGCTCGTTTAAACTTCATGGACTATCACTCGATGCAAATGTGCCGGGCCATCATCGATAGTACCTCGCTGCTCTGGAAGAGCTGGCCAGCGAGTCCTCAGAGTGCGAGTGAGCACAGAGGGAGCGCGAGGAACAACTGGGGGAGATGAGAGCGGAAGACGCTATCAGGGGCGTGGTACTGTAAGACGCTGTCATCATGGCACAAGGGGATATGGTGGCGGAGGATGGGCCGAGGATGGGGCAAGAGAGGCAGCCATCACGGGCCGCTGCGGACTGTTCGAGGTCGGGTTGGACGATGGACAAGGAAACGGCGTCTGTATATTGTCATGAGGTCGCACGCAATGAATGATGAAACAAAACAAAGTCGCTGCTCGTACTGCATCGCCGACGCAGGTACCATGGTTCCCGTTCATCCTTACTTGTCTCCTCTGTGTCTGTAACCCTCGCACGCCCGTTTGGTCATGTAGTGCAACGGAGCCCTCGAGGTGAAGGTGGCGGTGGGACAGTCCCAAACAGTCGAGTTGCAGAAGGACTTGGCATTTTTCAGTATACACCCACCGCTCTACCGTCCATCTTCTTCCCTCTTCATCCCTCCTCCTCTCCCTTCTCTTCCCTCGCCAGTTCGCAGACAGTTTCTTGCTCCAACTCAATTTTTGCTCTGACTTCGCCCTTCTTCAGCCCTCGTCCAGGGTTCCGGCTGCTATCCGTGACGCTTCTTTCTCTACTCTCTACTCTCTACTCTCCTCTCCGCTCGTCTGTAGGCTGTGTCAGGTTTCTTTCACTCGGTGGGCATCGTCGTTTGCTCCTCTGCTGTTTCTGCCGCTCCAGGACTCAGTGGCGCTTCGGAGCAGAGGAGATATACACTTCAGCTCTCATTCGTTCCCGCTCCACTCCACTTCTGAGATCCAAAGGCGCTTCGACGTCACCATTCATTCCCGCTCCGCTCCACTTCTCGGACTCAATGGCCAATGGTGTCTTGAAGCGAAGTGGGTATACTCTTCAGCTCCTATTCATTCCCGGTGCTCCACTTCTGAGATCCAATGGCACTTCGAAGTCCCCATTCATTCCCGCTCCGCTCCACTTCTTAAACTCACGCCTCTGACTCAACGGTACTTTGAAGCGAAATGGGTATACACTTGAGCCGCCGTTAAATCTAGCTCCTCGCCACTTCTCTAGCTCAATGGCGTCTCGCAGAAAAGTGGATATACGCCTCATCACTCATTGATTGCCGCTCGCTTCTCAAGTAGGTATACTCTCCAGCTCCCATTCATTCTAGCTTCGCTTTTCTGACTCAATGGTGCTTCGAAGCAAAGTGGATATACACTTCAGCCACCATTCATACTCGCCCCACGTCTCGGACTCACCTCTCGGATTCAATGGCGCTTCGAAACAAAGTGGGTGTACATTTCAGCTCCCATTCATTCCCGCTCCATTCTGCTTCTCTGACTCAATGGTGCTTCACAGCGAAGTGGGTATACTCTTCAGCCCCCACTCATTGTCACATCACTCTACTCCGCAAGGTGATCACTTCGGGCGGGTGGTGAACGGTGATACCAGCATAACGGAACTTGGATTGAGATTCGACCTCTCCATCGATGGATACCGGGTGGGGATAGGCAGCGCATCGATATTGCGATCGGGGGATAACGATGGAACGATGAAGGTGGGAGCCATGCGATGTCGTCGGGACAACTTTCCGAAGAGGCAGACCCTCCGACAGTTGGAACAGAGTCAATTCCGGGCGGAACTATGAATGAACAAGGACCCGAACGGATATCTTGATCGACTCAACGGATCAACACAAAACTGGTTTGACTGGTTCACCTGGTTTTTTACTTCCGCTGCATCTGCCAATTCTCCCGCGCCCGGACTTGATGGTGCTCTGAAGCGAAGCGGGTAGCTTTCAACTCCCATTCATTCTCGCTTCACTTCCCGGACTCAATAGCGCTTCGAAGCAGAGTGGGTATAGTTGCACTTCGGCCCCCATTCATTCCCGATATACTCCGCCTCTTGGACTCAATGGCGCTTCGGAGCAGAGGAGATATACACTTCAGCTCTCATTCATTCCCGCTCCGCTCCACTTCTCAGACTCAATGGCCATTGACTCTTCGAAGAAGAGTGAGTATACATTTCAGCTCGCATTCATCACCGTTCCACTCCACATCCCTAACTCAATATCGCTTCAAAGTCCCCATTCATTCCCGCTCCGCTCCACTTATCTGACTCACTTCTACGACTTAATGGCGCCTCGGAGCAAAATGGGTATGCACCACAGCCACCATTCATTCCCGCTTCACTTCTCGGACTCAATTCTCTGACTCAATGGTGCCCCGCAGCCAAGTGGATATACACTTCAACTCCCATTCAGTCTCGCTTCACTCCACTCCGCCTGGTGATCACTTCGGGCGGGCGGTGAACGGTGACATCGGCATAGTGGAGCTTGATTGGAGTTCGACCTCTCCATCGATGGATAGCGTGTGGGATATACAGCGCATCTATATTGAGATCGGGGGATGGTGATGCGGGAGCCATGCGATGCCGTCGGGACAACTTTCCGAAGAGGAAGACCCTCCGACAGTTGGAACCGAGTCAATTCTAGGCCGAAACTGCACTGCACCAACTGTCAACTGTGAGGGGGATGCAAACCGAACTGACACCTTAATTGGCGCGATGGACTGGCATAAAACTGGTTCGACTGGTTTACCTGGTTCCTTTAAACGCTTGGAATCAGCACGGGGCTACAGCGATGGTCGTCATCAATTCTCACGAAAACTCTGCAACTAAAGTACCAGGTCAAATGTTTTTGTTCACCTCCCCAACAGTGCCACCACACCACAGACATATATCTCTCTAACACAACAGCCACGCATTAGAAAGTATTAATAATTGGCATATATCATGAATACATACCAATAAAGCTTCGATGAAACTTCCAGCTCGCTAGGATGATTCTTTTATGCGAAGTAGGGTGGCTTGGCGGATTTCCCTTTCACCGAGGTAGGTCGTTTCCCGCCATAGATACAGCAACCATAAGGTTGTATAAAAATATGTGGACCACTAGAAGGTCTTCTAAATCAGGTAGAGAACCTCGATTGAAATCGGCACATAATTCTAAGCGGTGGTGATTGAGTAATGCCGTAAGGGAGAAAAGTTGGTGGTGAAACTGGTTTTCACGCAATAATTTTGTATGGGGGCCCCATACAAAATCTGAAATCACTCTCCAACCCGTGCACAACACCAACTAATGCGCCACCAATCCGAAGCAAAAGTCGTCAGAGTTCTTATATGTGATGCATCTTGTGACTCTAAAGCTTCTACGAAAGACTCGATTTTTTTCCGCCACGTGAAGGGTGGGTTTTGGTTGCTTGAAAATGGGCATTTTTGGTGTAAAACGGCCCCTGTGCAAAAACTTTTGTCCCAGTACTTTACTAAGCATTCCAAAACAACGCCGATTGGCCACCTCGAGACTTAGGTCGAATGCTACGATGAAACAAAAACAAAAAACACCTCGAGACTATGTGAAACATCCATCGGTGGAGTAACCATGTCTGCCGCTGAGGCTGTATGTCGCGTGCATACAGGTATGTGGTGGTTAGTGATTCTAGGCCGTGCAAGGTGTTGGGGCAGCGAACGTTATCTACAGCCGAAACGGGAAGCGTGAAGTTGAAGAACTCACCAATTGATGGGAGTGGCTGTGGCGCCTGCTCATTTTGCAAAAAGCATATCGTCAACTTTGATTACTGGCGATGATACGAGTGATATCTGATGAATGATGTCGAGGGACTCATGGAATATGTCGCGAATCGCGAACTCATGGACTCGCGAGCTTCTCCAAACCGCCGCCGCCGATAAGCTGATAGGATAGCCTTGTTACTCGCTCTCGCTCTTGACACCCCCGCAGCTCTCGGATACGAAGACTCCACTCTTTCTCAACGGTCCTGGATTAGTAATGTGAGGGACCAGACTCGCTG